AAGTTTCCTTGAGCCGTCCCCTTCATCAGCATGCGCAGATGTAATGCGCAGTAGGTTTATCAATGGTGCTCACAGTGACCGATCTATCGTAAGTTTTCACCAAGTATTTTCAATTAACTCCCTCAAGTTAAGATCTTCGATTCACTAGATCTGAAGCTGATCCTATGAAGATAGATAATGGGCACAAGAAAATCCAGTCGATCGCACATTAAGGGGGGTAATGATGATAAATTAGGTATGAAAACAAATCTACTTTCAGTTTCATTTGATCAGCTATAATTACAAGATTCTACCGTATTCAATTTAAATGATGCCCAGTATTGTGGTCGGACTTATATTGCCGTTTTAGACTTTGGAATGATTGCAAAAATGTTGAATTTCAACATGAAACGCTTTGACCCCAATTTGTGTAACTACACACAGGGAGAAACTCCTCTCCCACTCCATTCACACCCATGACTCGCTGGACCAGATAATCAGATGATTAATAGTGACATTTTTCTTGCAATTGCCTAATTAATTAATTGTTAGTTGTTAATGTGCTATAAGAGTACAATAAAAGGTATGCACAAAATCAAAAAATACATTTTGTATGTGGTTTCTACATTTTGTATGCATTTTTACTCAAGAAAAACACTTTTATAGCTTTGACTCAACTTTTTTTCTTGTGACTCACTTTTTTGAAACTACCTGAGTCATGATGACTCACAAAAATATATGCCTACCGCCACCGCTGAGATAGGATATGAGATTTAATAGATACATATAGGGAGAGAGTAGTATTGAAGATAGGATATGAGATTTAATAGACCCATATAGGGAGAGAGTAGTATTGAAGATAGAATATGAGATTTAATAGACCCATATAGGGAGAGAGTAGTATTGAAGATACTATATGAGATTTAGTAGACCCATATAGGGAGAGAGTAGTATTGAAGATAAGATATGAGATTTAATAGACCCATATAGGGAGAGAGTAGTATTGAAGATAGGATATGAGATTTAATAGACCCATATAGGGAGAGAGTAGTATTGAAGATAGAATATGAGATTTAATAGACCCATATAGGGAGAGAGTAGTATTGAAGATAGAATATGAGATTTAATAGACCCATATAGGGAGAGAGTAGTATTGAAGATAGAATATGAGATTTAATAGACCCATATAGGGAGAGAGTAGTATTGAAGATAAGATATGAGATTTAATAGACCCATATAGGGAGAGAGTAGTATTGAAGATAGGATATGAGATTTAATAGACCCATATAGGGAGAGAGTAGTAGTGAAGATAGGATATGAGATTTAATAGATACATATAGGGAGAGAGTAGTATTGAAGATAGGATATGAGATTTAATAGACCCATATAGGGAGAGAGCAGTATTTAAGATAGGATGTGAGGGGGAGAAATATGTTTAGTGATGAGGAGGGAAGCGGGAGAAATAATAAGGGATAAGATTTGGTGCAAAATAATATGGAAGAAAAATTAAATGAAAGGGATGAGATATTGGAGACTTCAGAGACTATAAGTAAAAAAGAAATGGTAATTCTCATGTAATAATTGGTTACTAACTTTGGTCTAATAATTATGCATTTTGATGAAAGTTAACCTATTTGTTAAATGAGCATTAAATCAATAAAAGTTGAATGCCAATAAATAGGTAGATATTACACCTATTTATTATTTTAACAAATATGTTATAATACTCTTTCGATAATTCGATAACTTTCTGTCATCTTTGCTACCCCTAGGTGATTGAACATTAGCTAATTGTTAAGATAGATTTCATCTAAAACAGAGAATTAAAGAAACTGGACTTAAAAATGTGGTAGTGAGTATTAGCAAAGTATTAACTCTATCCTAGGTGATGAAAATTAGCCAATTGCTCATTGATTGATGAAAAATTCCCGCTCTTTTTGAACTAAAAGAAAAATGGCTGACAGAATGTTCAACTGTCAGAGACATGGGCAATTTTCCGGATTTTAATGAATTACATTTGGTAGCTTGACAATAATCAGAAAAGATGCATATTTGCGTGACATATCGTGTCATGCAAAAAATGAGCGTGACTTCAATTTCTCCAGCAAATGTGTGACATAAATACGCAAATTGCAGGAGAGTTGAATGGCCTGAGAATAATATAATGGAAATGTTTTCATTGCAAAACACAATTTGCTTTGTTAAGTCTTACTCTTTACCTATTATTTTTGAATTTTTGATTTTTTTATGGCAACATGGAAATCAGTACATTGATCCACACAGATTTACTTTTTATGTCACCCTGAAAGTGGTTATGTATTGTTATAGCGAGCCTCCAACTTTTTTTGTAGACAGTGTTCGGTGAAAGGCAGTTTCCGATTGGCATGCAGTGTCTGTAACTTATTCTTACAACTTGCAGTAATTATAGTAGCCTAATGTTTATTTTGACTTCAAACTTTAACCATCAACTCAGAAAGACATCCCATAAGTTCCAACATAATGTGTGCTATCAGGTGGTGACATTTTGTCATGTTAATGCATTGTAATTATTCCATTTAAGAAATTCAGCTAACTCATATAGACACCCCATAAGTTCTAACATAATGTGTGCTATCAGGTGGTGACATTTTGTCATGTTAATGCATTGTAATTATTCCATTTAAGAAATTCAGCTAACTCATATAGACATCCCATATGTTCAACATAATTCGTGCTACCAGGTGGTGATATTTTGTCATGTTAATGCATTGTAATTATTCCATTTAAGAAATTCAGCTAACTCATATAGACATCCCATAAGTTCTAACATAATGTGTGCTACCAGGTGGTTATATTTTGTAATGTTAATGCATTGTAATTATTCCATTTAAGAAATTCAGCTAACTCATATAGACATCCCATATGCTCAACATAATGTGTGCTACCAGGTGGTGACATTTTGTCATGTTAATGCATTGTAATTATTCCATTTAAGAAATTCAGCTAACTCATATAGACACCCCATACAGGGTGTTTAAAAAGTAACAGGACTGGTGCTGGCATTTTGTCAATTCTGCACCGAGTGTGTTCAAATTTTTACAAATTGTACTTTGAAGTAGAGCAACTAAAATTGTAAAGTTTCAGAAAAAATTATAAAATGCGGGTAAAGTTATGGTTACTATAGTAACGTGACATCACAATACCCGGGGCAACTTTTTCATGAAAATGTTATATCTAACATTTTTATATGACTGAAGCAAGTATCTAATTCGCCTATTACAATACAACATTTCTTGTTTGTTTTATTAGTTGCTTTATAGTTATGGGGTTGCTATACAACTCAGATTCAAATATGATTTCAAAATAATAATATTTATTCAATTTCCTGAAATATCATTATGTATAACAGTCTGCACAATTCACTGTTGAGTTTTTGAAAAGAGCCAATTTGAAGCCAGTCATCCACCTTGATAAGGCGTCTGCCCGCAAGTCAGCATTAAAGACCACTGCAGCTATAGCGGAGCTAGGTCTTTAGGTCTAAGACCATGCATCATACTCTTCTGATCATGCAATATCTAATTTTTACTTTTTTTATGGGGAATGGAATGCTAATCAGCACGGTAAGACCTTTAAAGATGAGAATGACCTTCTCCAAGTTGTCCTATCGACCCTGCGTGACATGTCATCAAATGGGTTCACTCATGTGTTTGAGTCATGGATACTGAGTGCTACTCTTGGACTGACCAAAGAGGACCCTACTTTTCAAAGTAGAGGATACATAGGAATATCAAATAATGTATTTAGCAAATGTAATTCCCACCAGTTGTTGGATTCTAACTTTGCTATGGGATGTACAAAATGCTTAAAATCTCTGTAACTTTCTGCGTGAAATGTTGCCCCGGGTATTGTGATGTCATGTTACCATAGCAACCATAACTCTACCCCAGTTTCATAATTTTTGTCGAAACTTTGCAGTCTTAGTTACAATACATGGAAGTACATTATGTAAAATTTTGAAGACGATTGGTGCATATTTGACAAAATGCCAGCACCAGTCCTGTTTCTTTTGGAACACCCTGTATGCTCAACATAATATGTGCTACCAGGTGGTGACATTATGTCATGTTAATGCATTGTAATTATTCCATTTAAGAAAGTCAGCTAACTCATATAGACATCCCATAAGTTCTAACATAATGTGTGCTACCAGGTGGTTATATTTTGTAATGTTAATGCATTGTAATTATTCCATTTAAGAAATTCAGCTAACTCATATAGACATCCCATATGTTCAACATAATGCGTGCTACCAGGTGGTGATATTTTGTCATGTTAATGCATTGTAATTATTCAATTTAAGAAATTCAGCTAACTCATATAGACATCCCATATGCTCAACATAATGTGTGCTACCAGGTGGTGATATTTTGTCATGTTAATGCATTGTAATTATTCCATTTAAGAAATTCAGCTAACTCATATAGACACCCCATAAGTTCTAACATAATGTGTGCTACCAGGTGGTGACGTTATGTCATGTTAATACATTGTAATTATTCCATTTAAGAAATTCAGCTAACTCATATAGACATCCCATATGCTCAACATAATGTGTGCTACCAGGTGGTGATATTTTGTTAATGCCTTGCCTTGTAATTTTACAAAGATTATTTGATGTTTTCAATTTTGTTCATACAGTAGAAAAAATATTCTGTAGACCATAATGCATCTTGGGTAGGAGTTATGCAACAAATAGGTTTTAAATAGCAATATTTAGGTAATATTCTGTTAACAAATAGCTTATTATTGGAAGATCTTAGATTAGATTTCTAATTTTAACTTCTTGTTACAATGTAATTTTCATTAAATAATCAGTCAGTATTCTACATGAGCATTGAACAGTAACAACACCTATTTATTAACATAATTCTCTTTAATTTTCTCTAGTTAGCTGAGAATTAACAGAGTATTACCTTTTTATTGTCAATATTTTCCCATTGATTATTTTCTAGAATTAATACTAATTACAATTCCTTTTACAGGAGGCTGGCTACTCAGCCGATAATGTTGCTGTCACCTTGGAGACAGATGCTGCCCAACCAGCACAGTATAACCCACCCCCAACCTATGGGGGTGTAGATGCAGCTCCACCCACATATGAATCAAGCACAGGGGGACCTGGAGGTAAATAAAAATTGTTTAATTACTATTCATTGAAACATAATTGCAACTGCTTGAAAACCAATATGCAACCACTTGATTTACTCATTTGCATCAACTTGAAAACCCATTTGCAACTACTTTAAGACTTGTTTGCATCAACTTGAAAACCCATTTGCAACTACTTTAAGACTTGTTTGCATCAACTTGAAAACCCATTTGCAACTACTTTAAGACTTATTTGCATTAACTTGAAAACCCATTTGGAAATACTTTAAGACTTGTTTGCATCAACTTGAAAACCCATTTGCAACTACTTTAAGATCTATTTGCATTAACTTGAAAACCCATTTGGAAATACTTTAAGACTTGTTTGCATCAACTTGAAAACCCATTTGCAACTACTTTAAGACTTGTTTGCATCAACTTGAAAACCCATTTGCAACTACTTTAAGACTTATTTGCATCAACTTGAAAACCCATTTGCAACTACTTTAAGACTTCTTTGCATCAACTTGAAAACCCATTTGCAACTACTTTAAGACTTGTTTGCATCAACTTGAAAACACATTTGGAAATACTTTAAGACTTGTTTGGATCAACTTGAAAACCCATTTGGAAATACTTTAAGACTTGTTTGCATCAACTTGAAAACTCATTCGGAGCCACCAGAAAACCCATTTTCAAAATGGCCACCATTTTTCTCAGCAGAACATAAACTTTGATAACTCAAATACAATTAGACGGATTTGGTTCACATTTATATGCTAATGCCTAGATATAAAGGAACTCTACCCAAGAATAAATTTTAAAATGGCTGCCATTTTTCATTAAAAAAATTTGGTTCAAATCCTATATGCTGATGCCTTAGGATAAAGGAACTGTTCTCAAAAATAAATTTCGAAATAGCTGCCATTTTTCATAAAAAAATGTAATCTTTGATGACTCCAATACCAGTTTATCAATTTGGTTCAAATTTTATATGCTCATACCTAGAGATAAGGAAGCTCTGTTCAAGGACAACTTTTCAGGATGGCCGTTATTTATCAAACAAAAAAGCTGGAGCTGTTTTCTAGTTACTTCTTGTTGTTGTGCGTTTCGGCTCGTGTTTGCGCGGGTTTATATATCCAGATATTAATGTTAGACAATGAAGATCCAATATCAGAGTTTCAACAGGAGATGTTCATACGATGATAGAAGTGGAGTGACTCTCTGATTAGAATGTGTGATGTCAGTTATATACCCTCTCTGGTGTATCAGGTGTCTTAGCCATATATGGCAAATGACTCACCATATATGGCAAGGGAACAGAGTAGAAAGTTAGGCATACCAGCAAGTGAGTCAGGGTTCAGAGGTCAAGCTAATGATATCATATTAACACTCCAAACCCCACAACCAGATACCGTAACATTGTTGCTAATGAAACTGCTCCATTCTCATCTGCAAATAGAATGAACATTCATAATAATGAAACTGCTCTTGGTTGATTTACATTCTCATCTGCAAATAGAATGAACATTCATGATAATGAAACTGCTCTTGGTTGGTTTCCATTCTCATCTGCAAATAGAATGAACATTCAGAATAATGAAACTGCTCCATTCTCATCTGCAAATAGAATGAACATTCATAATAAAGAAACTGCTCTTGGTTGATTTCCATTCTCATCTAGAAATAGAATGAACATTCATAATAAAGAAACTGCTCTTGGTTGATTTCCATTCTCATCTAGAAATAGAATGAACATTCATAATAAAGAAACTGCTCTTGGTTGATTTCCATTCTCATCTAGAAATAGAATGAACATTCATAATAAAGAAACTGCTCTTGGTTGGTTTCCATTCTCATCTGCAAATAGAATGAACATTTAGAATAAAGAAACTGCTCTTGGTTGATTTCCATTCTCATCTGCAAATAGAATGAACATTCATAATAATGAAACTGCTCTTGGTTGGTTTCCATTCTCATCTAGAAATAGAATGAACATTCATAATAATGAAACTGCTCTTGGTTGGTTTCCATTCTCATCTACAAATAGAATGAACATTCATAATAATGAAACTGCTCTTGGTTGGTTTCCATTCTTATCTGCAAATAGAATGAACATTCATAATAATGAAACTGCTCTTGGTTTATTTCCATTCTCATCTGCAAATAGAATGAACATTCATAATAATGAAACTGTTCTTGGTTTATTTCCATTCTCATTTGCAAATAGAATGAACATTCATAATAATGAAACTGTTCTTGGTTGATTTCCATTCTCATCTGCAAATAGAATGAACATTCATAATAATGAAACTGTGCTTGGTTTATTTCCATTCTTATCTACAAATAGAATGAACATTCATAATAAAGAAACTGCTCTTGGTTGATTTCCATTCTCATCTGCAAATAGAATGAACATTCATAATAAAGAAACTGCTCTTGGTTAATTTCCATTCTTATCTGCAAATAGAATAAACATTCATAATAATGAAACTGTTCTTGGTTTATTTCCATTCTTATCTAGAAATAGAATGAACATTCAGAATAAAGAAACTGCTCTTGGTTGATTTCCATTCTCATCTGCAAATAGAATGAACATTCAGAATAAAGAAACTGCTCTTGGTTGATTTCCATTCTCATCTGCAAATAGAATGAACATTCAGAATAAAGAAACTGCTCTTGGTTGATTTCCATTCTCATCTGCAAATAGAATAAACATTCATAATAATGAAACTGTTCTTGGTTTATTTCCATTCTCATCTACAAATAGAATGAACATTCATAATAAAGAAACTGCTCTTGGTTGATTTCCATTCTTATCTGCAAATAGAATGACCATTCATAATAATGAAACTGTTCTTGGTTGATTTCCATTCTCATCTGCAAATAGAATGAACATTCAGAATAAAGAAACTGCTCTTGGCTGATTTCCATTTTCATCTAGAAATAGAATGAACATTCATAATAATGAAACTGCTCTTGGTTGATTTCCATTCTCATCTGCAAATAGAATGAACATTCAGAATAAAGAAACTACTCTTGGCTGATTTCCATTTTCATCTAGAAATAGAATGAACATTCAGAATAAAGAAACTGCTCTTGGTTGATTTCCATTCTCATCTAAAAATAGAATGAACATTCATAATAAAGAAACTGCTCTTGGTTGATTTCCATTCTCATCTGCAAATAGAATGAACATTCATAATAAAGAAACTGCTCTTGGTTGATTTCCATTCTCATCTGCAAATAGAATGGACATTCAGAATAATGAAACTGCTCTTGGCTGATTTCCATTCTCATCTGCAAATAGAATGAACATTCATAATAAAGAAACTGCTCTTGGTTGATTTCCATTCTCATCTGCAAATAGAATGAACATTCATAATAAAGAAACTGCTCTTGGTTGATTTCCATTCTCATCTGCAAATAGAATGAACATTCATAATAAAGAAACTGCTCTTGGTTGATTTCCATTCTCATCTGCAAATAGAATGAACATTCATAATAAAGAAACTGCTCTTGGTTGATTTCCATTCTCATCTGCAAATAGAATGAACATTCATAATAATGAAACTGTTCTTGGTTTATTTCCATTCTTATCTGCAAATAGAATGAACATTCAGAATAAAGAAACTGCTCTTGATTTCAATTCTCATCTAGAAATAGAATGAACATTCATAATAAAGAAACTGCTCTTGGTTGATTTCCATTTTCATCTAGAAATAGAATGAACATTCATAATAAAGAAACTGCTCTTGGTTGATTTCCATTTTTATCTAGAAATAGAATGAACATTCATAATAATGAAACTGCTCTTGGTTGATTTCCATTCTCATCTAGAAATAGAATGAACATTCATAATAAAGAAACTGCTCTTGGTTGATTTCCAATTTCATCTAGAAATAGAATGAACATTCATAATAAAGAAACTGCTCTTGGTTGATTTCCATTCTCATCTGCAAATAGAATGAACATTCAGAATAAAGAATCACAAAACTGTTGATAACACAGAATCAATAATGGTAATTGAAATTGATATATTATGCCGTAATTATTACGCTTTACACATTGAATACATATTGCAATAATTCAACATGGTCTTAAACATACATTGCCAAATGGTTTATGCAGATTCTTCCGAATTAAATTCAAATTACACTCTACAAAGAAAATATGAATGGGAAGTTACAGAAAAATGAGGCTTAAAGCAAATTGAAGTCTCATATTCTTACAAAATATTCTCAAAATAATATATAAATGCAATAAACTGAATAAATGCAGAAACTTAGCCATTGTTAATGATGTTAATCAGCCTGTATCAGTGATATAAGTACAAAAGTGCATGCTGCATATAATTGTCTGATAGTTTTCAGTGAGACAGTCAAGCCATAAAAGGTTTTACTCAGTTTGGTTGATCACTTATAGAGCTCCTTCTTTGTGTTTTTAAAACATATAGCACTTAAAGGGGTATTCCTTGCTAGACCATCTCTCTCCTAATATGGTAGCTATAACCATATACATACTTTGCAAGTTTATCAAAAAACAGAAAAATGTTTTGAAATGATGTATTGATCACTTAAAAATGTAGTGCTCAATTCCAATAGGCTGCCATCTTTTAAAATTTCACTCAGGAAGTGATTTCATCGACTCTCAACTTTGCATATAACATTAGGTAAGGAGCTATTAGAATTACTAAACCAGCTGAATATTTTTTTCAATTTGGTCTATGATTAAAATCCTTTTGATGATCTCTTCTTTAGTTCTACGTTGACAACTCCTGAAAATATTTTTACACATAAGATAAGGGCTTCTTGTTTAGAAGTGATTTTGTACTTCTTTCCTATACTGTAATAGACAAGGTTATAACAGGTGAGAGTCAATGACATCACTTCCTGAAAGAAATCTGAAAAGATGGCAGCTTACTGGGAATGAGTACTACATTTTTAAATGATCGATATTGACCATATGAAAAGTTTTTCCTGTGTTTTGCTAAATATGTTAAGTATATATATGATTGTAGCTACCATATCAGGAGAGAAATAGTCTGGCAAGGAATGTTCCTTTAAACAGTAATTTATTACAGGCATTTGTATCATTTCAGAATTTGAACATTCATAAAATATTGTGTTGATACATGTCATTCATATGCATTTCAGACGCACCCCCTTCCTATGATTCCATATATGGACGTTTAAAAGGCGCAAAAGATGAGTCAGATGGAAATGTTGACTTTGCCAAGAAGTTTGCAGGAATAGTATGTGGCACATGTAAGTACATCTACTTGTATTAAAACATGAGCCCTGGCCTCTTGGAAATTAACTCGACCTGGAAATTACATTTAGAAAGAAAAAGAAAATGTTAAACCATATAGTGTATAGATGTAATTCTGTGTTTAGATTTCAAATATGATATTACTTTGACTTAGGTCTTAGGTCATATTTGTTATTAGTTAAATATGTTTTGTAAATTGACATTCATATTATAAGAACATGCAATAAAAGCGAATTTCCATTCTGGTGGGATATTCCTCTCAAATGTACTACGAGTATAGTGATGCCATAGCTCCTTGTTAGTTAATACATAATACAAACTGACAAAATAAATAATTTTTTTGTATAGGCCTGGTGCTGGCTATTCCAATTATTTATTCTTCTTCTTTCAGTGGGATGTACCATTTGTGTAGGCCTGGTGCTGGCTATTCCAATTATTTATTCTTCTTCTTTCAGTGGGATGTACCATTTGTGTAGGCCTGGTGCTCGCTATTCCAATTATTTATTCTTCTTCTTTCAGTGGGATGTACCATTTGTGTAGGCCTGGTGCTGGCTATTCCAATTATTTATTCTTCTTCTTTCAGTGGGATGTACCATTTGTGTAGGCCTGGTGCTGGCTATTCCAATTATTTATTCTTCTTCTTTCAGTGGGATGTACCATTTGTGTAGGCCTGGTGCTGGCTATTCCAATCTCCATGATAGTTATGGGTAAGTTCAGAATTTAAACCATAATCATTTGCCTTAAAGGCTAGAACTGGCAGATTTCCTGGCCAGAATCTGGTATGAAACACTTCATGGAAACACCCCATCTCAGTTATTTTGTGACCCAAACTGAATTGATAGGCAAGAGCCAGACCAAACCATGTTTGATATACACTTATTCATAATTATTTCTGTAGGGTGTTAAATGTAATGTTTGTTAGAAATAAGCTATAGCATGTCTTCAATTCAAAAATCAAACAGATCTCATTTTTGATGAAAATATCAGTTCATAATTTTGGTCCTCCCAAAATAAATGGTAGGGAGGTTAAGTTACACATTTTTTAGAGAACCTTTAAGTGAGTGTGAAATAGTTTGACCCCCGGGACTTACTGTCGTCAATTCACTCTCCCAGGAAGAATTAGTTTCTGTAAATCTTTGTACTCAATTGGCCAAGTGAATAAAACGAATGGGAAAACTTATCCATAGAGAACCATAATTCTACACATTCACTTCAAAAACATGTAACATAACCTACCTAGTAACTAAATCAAATGAAATGTGTTTTTCTGCTTTTAGGCTCCGTTCATCTTCATAACTGTCCCAGAGAACGCATGATCCCAATCTATCTGATAGTAGCTGGGGTATTTGGCATTATCAAGAATCTCTCAAACTTTGGACAACGAATCAAGAACAGGAAGGAAGGAAATGATGAAGAGAATGCGAAGACAAATCCTTTTGATGGAATACTCAATTGTTTCCTTTTTGCATGGTTCATTGCAGGTAAAAATTTTATTATTATTTATTAATTCTTCCCCACTCTTTTTCTCATACTAACTAGTTTCCAACTAGCTACTAGTGCTTCTACTAGGGACCTGGTCTGAACTTGGCGGGAAAGGAATTTCTATCTAGGTCAGGTCAAAATCTGGGTCAAATCAAAGTTTTTTCAAGTTTCTCAAAATTTGTCCTTGCACTTCAGTATTTCTTGGTACAAAGTCTCAGGAGTTCAAATCTTACCTTAGACCTGAGAATGGGATTTGGTTGACCTTTGAACAAGAAATTTTATTTTATAACAATGAAGGAGATTTTGAGAACAAATGCCATAGAAACCAGATAGTGTTTAAACACAAGTTTGAAATTTGGAAATAGTAAAATCCATAATCAGTAAGTTCTGTATACCTGTAAGTACCATTATAACCATTGTATATTATGTAAAATTGTATAAATGTTTCAATAAATTAATTAAAATAAAACAAAAAGCATTTGGTCTGTAAAGTTCAATTTAGTGTCATCCTTTGATAGTATCATCCATTTATGGTGTCATCTCTGACCTTCAAATTGTCAAAAAGTGCCTTTGGGCCTCCCTAAGATAGTTTGCAGTCTTGATGTCTAGTTATATAATTATTCATTTATGGATTTTAGCCTGGGTTTATACTGTGTACACTAACTGCTCATGGAAGTTCAATATGATGGTAATAAAATACAATAGGATTGACCATTGTCGTCAACTTGGAAGTGAACATGAACAATTGAAGTTGGCACTAACTATAACATTAAATGTACTTATTTATCTTTTTGTATTACAGGTAATGTCTGGATCTACAGGACCTACAGAAGCTACAATTGTGAATTACCCAGGGTGGATGCTGTCTACTGTGACTGCACGTTGTATCTATATGCATTCTGGATAACCACGGCAACCTATATCCTCATTGCTCTCTCATGTTGCTGTGTTTGCTTCTCAAGCTGCTTGATCTGCATGTTTGGAGGCTCAAAGAAGTAACTGCACGTAAACGTTACAACATGGCAGAATTGGATGATCCATAACTGCATGCCAAGTAACAAAATGGCATTCCTTTGAAGTAACTTCACAAAGTTGTAACAAAGAGACATTAAGAAAATGTGAGATTCATGACATGGATTTAGTGAACATGGATTTGATTGTCTCCCATCATTGGTGCCTTAGACACTGGAAGATTCAAAACTCTGACAGTGGAATGGTTTAGCTTTCAAATTTGACAGTCCCGATTTATCCGTAGTATTTTACCCAGAAAAAATATATATTCATATAGGCCTATATTGTAATTCCACATATTGTATATTTCCTTCAAATATAAACTACCATGCTTGTTGTATCTGAAGTGACAGAAAATCATTAAAAACATATATATTAACTCTTCAAGAACTTTAAACTGTAGTTTCTAGTCTTCTAATTCGATTAATACTTCTATTCTCAGGGTTTGTCTATAAATATGATTTACACAAAGATACAGCATATAGTCAACAGTATAGGATGAATGAAATTAAAGTTTGTAAATGTATTTGTGAAATGAAATTATTTTGGAGATATTTTAATAGATTGTGATGATTATTAGATCTCACGCGGAGACAGCATTCATGTTTTTTTTTTATTATATTATTTAGAGGTTATGTCTCTATTACGTGAAATATGCCTGAGTTCTCCCAATATAGGCCGACCTTGGGAGGCTCTATGTTTGGGCAAGAAAGAAGGCATATTTCACATCATAGTGACATAACCTCTAAATATTGAAATACATAGTACTATAGACTGTGTGTAATTAGAGGTTGTGTCTCTATTACGTGAAATATGCCTGAGTTCTCCCAATATAGGCCGACCTTGGGAGGCTCTATATCTGGGCAAGAACGAAGGCATATTTCACATCATAGTGACATAACCTCTAAATATTGAAATACATAGTACTATATAGACTGTGTGTAATTAGAGGTTATTTCTCTATTACGTGAAATATGCCTGAGTTCTCCCAATATAGGCCAACCTTGGGAGGCTCTATATCTGGGCAAGAACGAAGGCATATTTCACGTCATAGTGACATAACCTCTAAATATTGAAATACATAGTACTATATAGACTGTGTGTAATTAGAGGTTATTTCTCTATTACGTGAAATATGCCTGAGTTCTCCCAATATAGGCCAACCTTGGGAGGCTCTATATCTGGGCAAGAACGAAGGCATATTTCACGTCATTGTGACATAACTGATGTATTACATACCTTTATTCCCTTAGCTACTTTGTATTAATGATGTCACATATCTGTGTGCAAGTAGAATTTGATCAAAACTGAAACATAACAATGTGATATTGTCATGGTTATTAAAGAAATCTAATATCAAAACGAGGTAAGCAGGCTATATCGGGTAATCAGGCAATATTGGTGGATAACGTCCACCTTCTTTACCATTGACTTCCATAGAAATGCTTCGCTAAGTATGTAATACATCTTGATGTGTCAACATATACACTAAGGTTCCCCCAATGTACCCGTTATTCAATAATGTTGCTGGGTTTCTAGCTCCAATAAAAACAAACCGATTCTCTGCTAAAACCACGAAATTCCAAATATATCAAACACTGTTACATAACTGTGAGCCTGAGCATACATGTGTGAATGTAAAATGTAGTAATGTAACGTGATATCAAATATTTATGTTTATTCCATAGTTAGCATGATATTCATAGGATAACATGTGAAAATAAAAACGGTATTTTTTTAATCAGTGGTAAAATATGATATTTTTGACAGATTTTCACTTAACCATAGCATACGGTTTTTTAGCCATGACATACGACGTCGTATGCGATGGTTTATGGATTTTTGCTACTTCAGACTCAAAACGAGGCTAAGTGTCAACATCGCCGGATCGTTTGGAAAATTCGAATTAAATGACTTAATTTCCGAAGATTCTGATGATGACTTTAACTATGGAATAAAAAGAACATCCTATGATTTACTCGTGATATGATTTTAATCCACTCATGGTTATTGAAATCTGCACTCTCTCGCTACGCTCGCTCGAGCAGATATCATATCCATTCGTGGATAAAAATCATATCACTCATAAATCATAGGATATCCTCTATATATTTGGGTTTATCCTACACTGTGTACTAAATGTATAACATTAATAAAAAAAAAAAGGATTTGATATCTATTGGCAAAATGAATAATCGGAGGATATCACCAGGATTTACTCCATAAAACGAATATGCAGAGGATTTTGCCATGATATAATCTAAAACCAATGTGTGGAGAATATTGTGACAATATACTCCACTTGTTGATTTTATACATTTCTCATACATGTAGTCCACTAAGCGTAGGATAATAAAAACATCCTTTGATTTTTACAGGATATCATTTTTAATCTACTTGTGATATTGATATCACCTCTTAGATAAAAATGATATTCTTCAAAATCATAGGATATCCTATAAATATATTCTTATCCTAATATCTCGTCTCTTTTTAGAAGAAATCCAGATATTATTGAATATAACTTCATTGAAAGTGATAGTTAAAAATATCAAGTGATTTTCGCGAGAATCTATTTTTTAATATATTGTTTGGATTTCCTAAACTCTCAATTAAAACCAATTCTTAAGATGATTTGCTTTGGGATAACTATGAAATATCATTAGTATCCCCTCTTAGGTATAAATGATATATTTCAAACCATAGGCTATTGCTAATCACAAGTATAAACTGTGTTATAACTTTGTAATAATCATGACATTCTATTTCAAAAGGTTAGTGCATACGAGGTATTTGTATTTTTGTAATTTAGTCATATTTTTCTATGTTATTCTACATTAATTGTACTTTGAGGAAAATTGTATGTCACATTTAAAGAAATAACATTGTACAGAAAATATATACAAAGAGTAGGACAATATATTCAAAAAGCCCACCTTATTGTACTTGGACTGACGGTCTTGATTTTGTTAATGTATAGGGACATGCTCGATATATATACATGTAGATCTTCTTGTTTTTATTCATGTATAGGGACATGCTCGATATATATACATGTATATTTTCTTGTTTTTATTCTTGTATAGGGACATGCTCGATATATATATATATATATACACATGTGTATTTTCTTGTTTTTATTCATGTATAGGGACATATGCGTGATGTATATTGTCAACTAAAATTGTGGAAATGATTTTGTAATACCTGAAGATTTTGTTAAATCGACAGTTATTATTGAGACACATTTAAATTTATATATATTGTGGTAACTGTAAAACGGGTAATTTTGACACCGGGAAATTTTAGCGATTTTTCAATTTTAGGGGGTTTTAGCGCGGGAAATTTTAGCGAAATTAAGATTCTATAGACTTTGATTTTGAAAGTGATCCTTTGCTCACTTATGGTACGGGAGAATTTAAGCAATATCATTGGTTGTTGAACCGTGTTCAATTAACACCTTTTATCTTTATGTTTACTACTAATACTATTTCACTGATGGATGGCTATTTATCCTTCAGATATTGAAAGAAACATACGATTTAAAAATATTTACCTTTTTCAAATTACAAACCGGAAGTCGAGCACTGAACGAAAAGCTCCTTAAATACTAGTATTCATGTAGTTTCCCAGGAATTTGCAAATTTTAGCGCCCGGTTTATTTTAGCGAATTGAATTTTTAGCGAAACTATAGCGATCGCTAACAATTGCTAACAATTACCCCTCGCTAACAATACCCGTTTTACAGTATGTACTGTTATAACTGTAATGTTGTTTATAGAGGATCGAGAAATACTTGTGTAAAATGTTCTTTTCATCAGAACATTCACTGAGTGGGATTTTAGGATTTATGGACCTACTGTTCAAAATTGAATAATAATAATAATGATAATAATGATAATAATATGATATGTCCATTATCTGATATGTTGTAATATAGACCTTTCCAATAAATCCAATGGATTTTATTTATTGGAAATATCATAATATATAATTTGTAAGATTCATGTTTTCATACCATGACTGCATTATAAAAAATTAGAACAAAGTGATTATTCAAAGATCTTAAATTAGGATATGCCCTTAAATAGACTTAGAGACTTACAGAAAAGGCCAAATAATTTCTAGGACCATAATTATTGACTGAATGTTAAGATGTCTTCCAGACATTTTAAAATGGTATTTCTTGAGTTAGATATATTAACTATTACTGTAATGTAGCATTAGAACATGTGTTTCTTTCTTTACCTGCTAGTCTAATAAATATTTTCATTAACATGTTACTTCAAAATTAGTTCAATTTTTATCTTCAAGAAATACATATTTAAAGAGAGAATCAGATCTAGCGAGCAGCCGAACAAAAAATTATTTCAATTTTAGAATATTCCTGGCTTATGTCATTTCTTTTCACGTTTATTTTCTAAAAATCCCCAAAGTGCACACTTTATTTCAGGAAAACTAAAGATTTTTACGATAATGTATTATCTTTCTATAAGAATGGTTATTTTTGCACTTTGAATCCATAATAAATTCACCAATTTATAACATATTGTGAATCTTTTGGGAGATATTGTATTTGAGATGGTAAGGAATAGATTGGTAGATCAGTTGTACATGTTGCTTGTAATTCTGTCACCCCCCCATAAATCTGATTCTGCCTTTAACTACTGACAATTCACACATAGCTAGGCAAGGTGTGCCAGATTCCAGCCAATCCAAACAGAGTATTCACATAATGAACAGTGAGTGAAATATCAATAACGCATGTTGTGTACAGTTGTTAAGCGATTGAAATTGAGTTTTCAAATACTTGACCCTTGCAAAAGGTTTCATTGAAAATATGTTCTTTCAGTAATTTGTATCTTTTAGGTGATTTTATAGAAAACATTTTGCAATGTGTGAAAAGAATTTAAGCCTAAAACTCAATGTATTGTGGCTGCTTCATTCCACTCAGGTGTTGTTTCCTAATCTTTGCATTTCCCCTGCGGGGTCATGCAAAGATTTGGAAACAACATCTTCGTGGAATGGTTCAGCACACAATGCACGTAGTCCAAGGCTTAAATCCTTAAGTGATGACACCTGAGATTTACTTTTGTCATCAAAACTAGATTTTGAGTTGAGTGGAACAAAAACAAATTATTATTTTGGACTGTGGTACAGTAAATCCGCAGTCGAATTTATTCCATAATTCACCCAAGATGAATTGATATTAATAAACGATATCGTTTAAATGATAAAATTGCAGGGCATTATGAAACCCAACTTCTTCTTTGTAAAAATGCTTTTAAGATTTCCATAATAATGAAAAAGAATTTGAGAGAATTTTTATTAGCATGTATCAATGTCCATTTGTAATATTTTGAACAATAACTGTAGTTGCTAGAGAGTTTATTTTCTCAATCATAAAAATGATGTTTGAAGAAGGTTTTCTTGGCCAAGTCAAGCATATTTCCATTCAAATAGAGGGTATTATTGGCCAAGTCAAGCATATTTCCGTTCAAGTAGAAGGTATTCTTGGCCAAGTCAAGCATATTTCCGTTCAAGTAGAGGGTATTCTTGGCCAAGTCAAGCATATTTCCATTCAAATAGAGGGTATTATTGGCCAAGTCAAGCATATTTCCGTTCAAGTAGAGGGTATTCTTGGCCAAGTCAAGCATATTTCCGTTCAAGTAGAGGGTATTCTTGGCCAAGTCAAGCATATTTCCATTCAAGTAGAGGGTATTATTGGCCAAGTCAAGCATATTTCCGTTCAAGTAGAGGGTATTCTTGGCCAAGTCAAGCATATTTCCGTTCAAGTAGAGGGTATTATTGGCCAAGTCAAGCATATTTCCGTTCAAGTAGAGGGTATTCTTGGCCAAGTCAAGCATATTTCCATTCAAGTAGAGGGTATTCTTGGCCAGGTCAAGCATATTTCCGTTCAAGTAGAAGGTATTCCAGGTCAATCATTGCTTGTTTTCTATCACAATTATTAATCTTCTAGGAAGAAATAGTTTCCATCCTTCTTCTGTTGAGCATCCTGAAAAGTCACCAATATCATCTTTTTAAAATGTTCAGCAATATTTATATAAACATACAAACATATTATTATGTCTTTATTATTTTAATTTGGGCTTAGGACTAATATGCATTTAAATGTGTGGGAAAGGGCACTACCCCCCCCCCCCCCACCTTATTCATTAGTTTGTCCATCTGTCCGTCCGTACTTCTGTCCGTCCATCTGGCGATATCTCAAATACCGTTGGGGCCGATTTTGTTCATATTTTGTACACATATGCCCTATGGGGGTTAAAAGTTCTGCTCGAAACCAAATTTTCAAAATGGATGCTCATTTACAAATGGCAGCCATTTTAGTGTCGATTTAAAAGTAATTTAGGTACAATATATAAAACTGTAATAGCAATATGTTTTAAATATAATAAAAGTTATATAGGACATTAATAAAGCTAGAAATGTAGATGTTAAGAAGTACATGGTGGCCATCTTGAAAAATGGCTGCCTTTACTTGCTATTTTTACGATTTTTGCACAAGTAGTGGAGCGATTTTGTTCATATTTGATATGTGAATACTATATGCATGGTACACTGTCTAATGACACTTTTGGTAGAAGGTGGCCATTTTTCAAACAGAGAATCGATTGTATCGTCAATCACTAGTAATAGCTATATAAATCATAATTTAATCGTTAAGACAAGGACACACAATATCCATGTTACAGTACAAAGTTAGTTCTGAAGCATTTGGTGCAAATAATTAATAAACAGTTTGCATTTATTTACAAACAAGTAAGTTGATCATATTTCGTATGCATAGCGGCCCATGTCAATCAACCACACAAATGCCAACCCTCTTTGCCATATATGGACCCGGAAGTCACTTGTTGATATGAATAATGAATGAATCGTGGTAACATATTGACCCAGAGATATGCGCAACAGATTGTGAAAGCAAATGAAAAGAAACTGTAAAAATATTTTATTTTTCTCACATTTTTCACTTTTCAGTCGGTATTAAGTGAAGTAGGCACGTAGAGAGTTTGAGAGTGGCGCAAACATTGAGGAAGGCGCAGTTTTCAGTTGAAGTAAGCGCTACGCCACAAAAGAAGATGCTGGGGAGATCATAGAATATCCTTCTTAGGTCAAACTAAACTAGTATATGAGCCAACTTACTTTAGCAAACTAATGTGCATATTAGGATTTACAGCATCGAACTAGTATAGGAACCAACTTACTTTAGGACACTAATGTGCATATTAGGTTTTACATTTATGGGTATAGGATTAGTAAAAGAACCAACTTACTTGAGGACACTTATATGCATACTAAGTTTTATAGTTATGAGTATCAGATAAGTATAAGAACCAACTTACTTTGACTGAATTGAGTTTGTTTATTCTAGGTCGATAGTTATTAGGGTCCCTTCTAAATGTAATGTCTAGAGATTTCAGGAAAGTGTTCATTCCTTTCAACAGCGACTGAGGTCTAAAGTGAGACATATAATAATATATCATATAATATAATAATTTAACATATAATATAATAATATATCATGTAATATAATAATATATCATATAATATAATAATTTAACATATAATATAATAATATAACATTACTCAAGGGGCGAGGAGGAAAATTCTCAATAAATGGTGTATAGTTGGTTTGGCAGCATTTTCAGTTAGGGGAGAGTCTTGGATGAAACTTCCACCAAGGTGATAGCTTCACAGAGTGGTAGGAAGTTCCTTTTTTTAGGAGTTAGCCCCCCACCCCCCAAAAACACCCCACCCGGGGAAAAAAATTGTTCACAGTAAATAACCTCAGATATTTTGATGTTTGTAAGTGACATACATAGATATTATATATATGAATCATTTGCAGTATAATTGATGCTTATTGCTCCTAAGGAAATTGAATATTAGTACAAAGTGTATACCCCAGGGGGCAAATTCGTGACTCATTTTCTTACTATTTTGATCCTAACTTTTCAATAAGACACTGTAAGAGGTTGAAAAAATTCATGGGAAGTGCCCAATAGCAGGGTTAGTAAACCTGAAAGATGCAAAGCCATTGAAAAGGTAGGAGCTGAGAAAAAAATTGTTGATTTTTCGAAAAATTTGACATTTTTGACAGTTGGATTTTGTGTATGACTATAGCTGACCCCTATAGTTTCTAGATCCATCCCTCTATAATGATATTTATGGTTTTATAGTGTGGAACTAAGATGTAAAACATAATTTAGATGGGTTTTAAGGAAGTTAAAGGTTTTAAACAAGTCCAAAATTTGAAAAATTGTAAATATAAGGTTTCAAATTTACATATTCCAGGTATAGCCATAGCTGACCCCTATAGTTTCTAGATCCATCCCTCTATGATGATATATATGGTTTTGTCATGTGGAACTAATATGTAAAACACAATTTAGATGGGTATTAAGAAAGTTTAAGGTTTGAAGTCCAAAATTTGAAAAATTGTTAATATAAGGTTTTAAATTTACGAATTTCAGGTATAGTCATGGCTGACCCTTATGGTTTTTACATCCATACCTCTATGATTAAATATACAGTTTTAGAGTGTGGGACTAAGATTTAACATATCCAAAATGAATTTTAAGGAGGTTAAGTGAAGAATTGTAAATGTTAGGTTTCAAATTTATGAATTTCAGGTATAGCCAAAGATGATCCTTATGGTTCTTACATCTATACCTCAGGGATGAAATATATAGTTTTAAGAGTATTTAACTAAAATGTAAAAGATACCTAAGATGAGTTTGAAGGAAGTTCTAGGTTTTAAACAAGTGCAAAATTTGAAAAATTGATCTCAAAATTGGTCTCAAATTCACGTTATTCAGGTACAGCCTTGAACGAGCCCTGATAATTGAAGGTTATGAGCATAATAGTATCAACTATGATATCATAGCTTAGAGACCAGGTGTAGAATATATACCTGTTGCAGCAGTTAGTCTGCTGCATATAGATGGAGTGAAAAGTCGTGAACTACAGTAAAATCTCTCTAATCTGAATGCTACTGGTATTTGGACCAGCTAAAAGCATTCTAATTAGAAGTATTTGAATTTTGAGGTTTTTACATCTACAATACAAGTTCTGGATTTTGAAGAAATATGAATGCATTCTCAATGAAAGATATTAATAATATTTATACTGACCACATAAAAAGCTTAATAGCATTCCAAAATCCAATTCAAAAGTTTTGATATCATAACAATTTAGTGTTAAACTGACAATATTTGAGCAATTTTGTAAGAAATATGTGATATTTGGTAAAAAGAGTTCAAGTTAGACAGGTTAATTTTTCAAATATGAGTGTTCACTGTTCGAAGTAAGAGGTATTCAGATTTCAATTTTTTAAACATAGGAGTCAATGGGAGGAAAAATTGGACTGGGAAAAGTGTTCAAATTTTTAGTCAATGTTATTGATCAGCTTATTGGTTTCATTACTTTCTCTAGAATCTAAAATTGATCTTGGGTTTTTGAGAGTAGTAAATTGGAATGCAGTTATATGGAATATTGAATTGGCTGGAATTGGACACAAGTTGCCTAGCTATGTGTGAGTAAACTATGATCTTATATGGATACAAACAGTTCGTTTGACAATGATCATCTATCTTATCTGTAAAATCAGAACTTAAAAAGGGGTTTGAAATGGAGATCGATGAAACCATACCACAAATTGATAAAACTTTCGTGATCGATGCAATGGCTATGACAAAAGGAAAATTAAGATTAACTTATATGTTGAAATTTGGAGAGTTTTGGAAAGCTATATTTGACTACTCCATCAAATCTAGTATTTGAGCCCAAAGAATATATTTCATATTAGACTCCTAGTAGTCTCCATCACTAAAGGATTCTGAAAGAATGCGAAGAATGGATGCTTCCCCTACTGAACTTTAATCCAAAGAAGAAATTACACCATTACCTAAAAATATGAATACCTTTTGGCCAAGTCACATAATACAAATTTTCAAAGATTACAAAGAAATTTAATAAAGCAGCATTCTAAAAGTGTGCCAAATGTCAAGATTGTTTTAAGTGGAACTATTGGAGAGAACTCGAATATCTGTGAAAATGATAACTGAAATCCCCTGTTAAATTCCACTCTTGAAGAGGCTGATTTTAAACTTATTCACTCTGTTTTACATTCAGCAGGAGAACATGTGGGACTGCAGTAATTTGCATCAAATGACACTGATTTTCTAATTTTATGACTATCATTTCAATAAATGTAAAACATTCTTAACTGCTAGAAAATGTCATCTGCAAAGTCAGTATGTAAACATTTTCTAGAATGTCTGTTTGTTTGAAACATATTGATCATATATATCACCATATATACTTTTTTGATCTACATGAAGATTTTAGTGTGACAAGACCCTTTTATCCTGGAGTTCCTAATCTCATTGCACTAACAGGAGTTTCTAGGCCCAGCTGGGTATGATCCTTATTTTCCCAAATAATTACTGTTGCCTGATGACAAGTTGTTTTATTACGAGTGTAGTGATTATAATTTGATAATTTATAATAATATTTTGTATTAGGAGATGATCATTGCTAAATTACAGTATGGGCATAACAAAATATAGAGAAATCATGTTTCTTTTAATTAACCATGTCTTTATGTATTTTGACAATGTAGAACATTACATCGAACATGTTGATGTGAAAAAGTAAAAATGCTATATCACATAATAAATATCATCAGATAATAATTAATTAGTTATAATCCATTTAATCAATCAATTACTACACTGTATACGATATCCCTAAGAGCAGTTACACTTTAGGGGGGGGGGATTTATTAACCTCTCACCCCCTTAGGAACTCAAGGCCAGGGTAAAGTCTTTAACTCTAATAATTTTCTTTTAACAATACTTGTAACATGGATCAAACCTGACCACAATATTTTCAACATCTAATTTCTAAGCTAAAAAGTCATACATTCAAAAAGAGAGACATCCAAGGCAATACCTGAAATCGTAAAGGAGGACTGAAAGTATCGCAACAGATTTAGGAAAGTCACATGTTGGATTTTTGCTATTTTTTGAGGATTTGAGGAGGTGCATATGTTAGGCCAATGCATTTCCTCCAGGAATAATTTCTATTTGTGACAGGGTGCAAACAACCCACCCACATGCATCAATATGTTGTGTTTTGACACACAGTTAACCCCTTTAAAGAAATAATGCATTCCATCAGGGGTTTAAAAGATATCAAATATGGGTGACCAAAATTAAGTTGAAAGTAATGGAGCACATGAGTTTTCCCTATGGGAAAATAACAGGAAAATACTGTTTTCTGCTTTATCTAAAAGAAATTTATTATTCCTTTTTATGGGTTAACTATGTCTCAAAACGCAACATATTGATGCAACGAAAAGCAGGGGTAAAAGGGCTTGAAAATCAGGACAACATTTCCGAAAAAACATGTGGGTGGATTGTTTGCACCTTCGCTGTCTCAAAGTCCAAACTATTTTATCATCTCTAAGAGTTCTTTTCCCGTAGGTAATGCAATGGCCTATCATATGCACCTGCTTAAATCCTCAGGAAACAGACAAAATCTAACATATGACTGTCTGAAATATGTTGGGATACTTTCCGTGCTCCTTTGAGACCTGATATTTCTCAATTTTTCAAACATTGCACTTGTTAAAATTCTTAAACTTCCTTAAAATTCATCTTCGGTATGTTTTACTTCTTAGTTTCACACACACTTCACAAAAATATATGTTTCATCATAGAGGTATGGATGATTTTGGACTTGTTTAGAATCTTTAACTTCCTTAAAACCCATCTAAATTATGTTCTACATCTTTAGTTCCATACTACAAAACCATAAGTATCACCAAAGAGGGATGGATTTAGAAACTATAGGGGTCAGCCATGGCTATACCTGGAATTCGTAAATTTGAAACCTTATATTTACAATTTTTCAAATTTTGGACTTGTTTAAAACCTTTAACTTTCTTAAAACCCATCTAAACTATGTTTTACATCTTAGTTCCACACTATAAAACCATAAATATCATCATAGAGGGATGGATCTAGAACCTATAGGGGTCAGCCATGGTTATACCTGGAATTCGTAAATTTGAAACCTTATATTTACAATTTTTCAAATTTTGGACTTGTTTAAAACCTTTAACTTCCTTAAAACCCATCTAAACTATGTTTTACATCTTAGTTCCACACTATAAAACCATAAATATCATCATAGAGGGATGGATCTAGAAACTATAGAGGTCAGCCATGGCTATACCTGGAATTCGTAAATTTGAAACCTTATATTTACAATTTTTCAAATTTTGGACTTGTTTAAAACCTTAAACATCTTTCAGGGTTACTAACCCTGCTATTGGGCACTTCCCATGAATTTTTTCAACCTCTTACAGTGTCTAATTGAAAAGTTAAAATCAAAATAGTAAGAAAATGAGTCACGAATTTGCCCCCTGGGGTACATACTTTGTACTAATTTTCAAATTCTTTAGGAGTTATCGCATCAATTATACTGCAAGTGATTCATATATATAATGTTTATGTATGTCACTTACAAACATCAAAATATCTAAGGTTATTTAGTGTGAACAATTTTTTCCCCAGGGTGGGGTGTTTTTGGGGGGTGGGGGGCTAACTCCTCAAAAAAAGGAACTTCCTACCACTCTGTGAAGCTATCACCTAGGTGGAAGTTTCATCCAAGACTCTCCCCTAACTGAAAATGCTGCCAAACCAACTATACACCATTTATTGAGAATTTTCCTCCCCGCCCCTAGAGTAACATATAATATTTAAGATTTATATAAGACTTAACAGATGATTATAGAAATACTGATAATTGATGAGCTGGTAGTTCACATTTCTATTTTCATATTATTGTAGACTACATTGTTCAAAATCAAAATGTTTCAAGAATTGAAAGAAATTGTTATATTTCATCAAATTTTCAACTTTTTTTATGAAAGTGCATAACTATTTTATGCACAGGGTAATGTTAATGTAATAAGTTTATATTTTCCCGAAAAACCTTCTTTTTAAGTGATTTAATTATAATATTTCTTTGGTACCAAATAGGAAAATGCAATTCATAAAATCATTCAATTCAAGGTTCAGTGGTATTTTCAATTCATTAATAAAATCATTGCTATTTATCTTAACTTACGTGTTTGCTCTGGTTTTGATAGATGGTGTTCCGTCAAATACAATGACACGATCTGCTAGGTAGGTTGCCATGATGAAATCGTGCTCGACAACGAATGCAGTCTTCTTGGCATGAAGTATGAATCTAATAAGAAAAGAGAAAACCAAGGTGTTATGTACAACGTATATATTTTGACTAACACTTTTAAAACAGTGAGTCACATTCATACAAAGTATGAAAGGAGCGACGCTTTACATTCATTAAAATAGTATTTATTTATTTGCCAAACACTTTTTAAGCAGTGGCACAATGGAAAATTCTAGTGTGGCAGGTAACATACAACAAATATACATAGATAAAATAATATAATGTTAAATTGTACACATGTTATAAGTTTAAAATCATTAATAGTCACTAAAAATTGTTTGACACACTTGTCAAATAAAAATCCTTGGTCTTTGCCCAAATACAAAAACTAAATACTAAAAACATCTCCTTTGAGACTTTGAACTTCAATCTCCTGTCCAACAAAATCATTACTTGAAGTAAGGCAATTCTCCAGAAATGGGGTTTGTTTAATTGATTCATAAAATTCTAGTGAAGATTTCGAGGAAATTCAGCAAAAAATCACTTTTGTGCTGTTGGGAGGATATGGTCAAAAAAGAATTATACCATTCATTGTCATTTCTTGGCAGGGTTGCATTTAAGTTGAAAAATTGATTTAGCCAATTTATATTGCATTGAAGAAAGGATCTTGACAGAGGTCTTGTCGAGAATTAGAACACCACATCCATGCAACAAAGCAGGGAGGTACTGGGAGTAGTATAATGTATTACCAAATCATATTCTATTATAGTTAATATGTTTCGTTAAAGTTGATGCAACTAGATTTCTTAACTTCTTATCCTTTTCTTTTAAATCAACATTCACATGATAGTTATCTCTTAATTGCCTATTTAGATGGATGCCAAGATATTTGTGAGTATCAACTTCTTTGATTTCAAGGTCATCCAATACCCAAGTTTTATTCTTATCAATTCATTTGCCTATGACCAAACAACAGCCATGAAGTACTAGAATACCATGGAGAGGTAAAGTTACCAAAAATAACTTTATTACAAACACCCCTGTAAGCCCACATGGAGCAACCGCCATATTTTTCCTTGAATTCCCACAGATTCACAAATAACATATCGCGGTCAATAACATCAAAGCCCTTAGAAATATCTAAAAATGTATTCTTTTGAGAGTGAGCATAAACCTTTCAGAGCAAAAATGTGGTTTTCAAGTCGAAGATTTTCCCTAAATGCTCCCTGAAAATCACCAAGAAGGTCACACGACTTAAGCTTAATTTTACTATCAAGTAAACTAGTAAAAATTGTATATACATTAGAATTCATGGTGAGACCTTTGTACTCATTTAATCAATGTTTAAACCTAGTTTGAATAAAGGAACAAGTAATCCTTCTTTCCATTCTGTAGGTATAACTTCTTTTACTTTATTAAAAAGGTCAAAAAGGGAAGAAAACATTGTATTTCCCCCGTATTTAAGAAACTCATTAGGTATATTATCCGTACCACACTTCTTGCGATTATTAAGCTTTCTGAGACATTGAACAAGCTCAGCATATGTAAAGCAAAAGCTGTTTAAGGCATTATTATCATAGTTAGGTTCCTTTACTAAAGAATCTATCTTTTCTGATTGATTATTGGAGTTAAACTTTGGATTGCAATTATTACGTCCCACCCTTTCCTAATACATGCTTCTTTACGATTGTTTATCAATGAGTTAATTTCTTTATCCCAAAATGAATGATGGATCATTGGTACCCTCTTAATCCATACCTGCCAACCTAAGACTAAAATTTTGCGGTAGATTTTTTTAAAATTGCTGTATTTTTGCGGTAGATTTTTTCAAAATACGGTAGATTTTGCGGTATTTTTCAACAAAATTGCGGTAGTTTTTACGGTAGATTTTAGAAAAAACGGTAGTTTTTGCGGTAGATTTTTTAAAAAACGGTAGTTTTTGCGGTAGATTTATAAAATAAACGGTAGTTTTTGCGGTAGATTTAAAAAAATACTGTAGTTTCAGAGGTTTGGGGTAGATTTTTGAAAAAAATGTAATTTTACGGTAGAAATTTGAAAAAAGCGGTAGTTTTGCGGAAGATTTAGAAAAAATGCGGTAGATTTTTAAAAATGCAGTAGTTTTTACGGTAGTTTTTTGAAAAACCGGTAGTTTTGCGAAAGATTTTGAAAAAATGCGGTAGTTTTACGGTAGATTTTGAAAAAATGCGGTAGTTTTCACGGTAGTTTTTTGAAAAAGCGGTAGTTTTGCGGAAGATTCGGAAAAAAACGCGGTAGTTTTACGGTAGATTTTGAAAATTGCTGTAGTTTTTACGGTAATTTTTTGAAAAACCGGTACTTTTGCGGAAGATTTGCCAAAAATGCGGTACTTTTCGGTAAATTTGGAAAAAATGCGGTAGTTTTTGCGATAGATTTTAAAATAACTAGTTTTGTGGAAGAATTTGACCTACCCCACATGATTTTATGTGCAATATGTCATTAATTATGTGGGGTAAGTCACTATATGTCCGTGCTATTTGGTAAATGTTCGGTAAATGAACATTGTTTGGTTCTAAAGTATATTTGTATTTGATGTGTGTTCTAAATATATTATGTGTCAACCGTCTTTGTTCGTGACTTAAATGTGACATTTTACCGAACACTGAATAACATGAACAGCATATACAAGTGCATTTATCGCATATATAGTTACATAAATCAAATATAAATGTGTAAAAACAAACGAATTTATTACGTGTTTCGAACCATTTTAATAGAGTGGAATATCGAATGGTTGTAATCAAATCCAAAAGTGTGAAAATAGAATAAAGATGCAGAAAAAATTCAATAATCCTCATGCTGGTTACTGATATAATGTGTTTAGATGAAAAATACAACATTTTATCGTACTGAAAACAAATTGATTAAACTATGTATAATGTATATGTGGCGTTCAGTACTGATCATAAACCAAACTACGCATATTTCATACGGTAAAGCAAGTAGTTTTTGTCATTTCCACTCATTTATTTAGATGAAGCGCAACTAAAATCATATTTTTGTTGCATTCGGAATAAAGATCTGTGTACAAAAGGGTTTGGTTAACTACAAAAATCATGTCAGAAAGAATTCTTTCTTGTGGTAGTTGATGTTTGGACTGATTATACGCCAGCGTACTTAGATAAATGCGCAATAACCTGATAACCACAGACCTGTCGATACCTATTTATATTTGGGTTGGTGAAGGAATATTACAGGGACAGTACAGGAAGACTTCAATTTTTCAGCATTTCCCAACAATAACGGGAAATTTTACGGTAGTTTGAACAAAAATACTGTTGATTTTAGCAGAAATACGGTAGATTTTCGAAAATTTACGGTAGATTTTCAAAAATTTACGGTAGATTTTACGGCCGTTCTCATGGAAGAAACGAGTTTTTAAAAAATAAATTTACGGTAGATTTCGAAAAAAATACGGTAAATTTTTTTACGGGCGTTTTTACGGGAAAAACATGGTATTTTTTTACGGAAGTTAGTCATTTTTTTACGGAAAAACGAAAAATTTACGGTAGATTCCCGTAAAAATACGGTAGGTTGGCAGGTATGTAATCCCAACCCCTTTATGAGCAGCCTTCATTACATTTTCTTTGAATGAGGACCATGCATCTTAAATGTCACTGCACTTGGAAATGTCCCAGGAACTAAATTCAGTATTAATGGCATTTTTCAAGTAATCCCAATCTTTGTTATCATAGATACATGTACAACTTAAAATCAACTAAAATAGTCATTGCTCACCAGAATATGGAATGTACACCTCTGTTGAAAACTTTTTAAAATAAAACAATTATCAAATTGTTTTCCAATTTCATTCCCCCACATTATAAAAACATCACGCTATCGTAATTTAAGGTCAGGGAGTAATTATTGTAAAAACTCTTACACTAAAAGAACATCACATGTTTCTAAAAGTTGTTTTATAAAAGTATTTCTTTCATCAGTATAAATATAGGATGAATCTAATAAAAAGAGATAAGCAAGGCATTAACATGAAAATATCACTACCTGCCATTTGTTACAGACGCTGAATGCCAGATAAAAAGGGAAAGGCAAAATGCTTTATACAGTGTTATATTATATTGGATGAATTCAGCACACACTTCACATGAAACTTGACAAATGTTCAAAAAGAGGAAATATTCTCCTTAATGGCAAAAAGGGCGACCCCAAAGAATACCTTGTCCCTTACTTACCGTTTGATAACCTTAGCTGCATGCAACCTCTGCTCTGAGTCCAGGTAGGCGGAGGGTTCATCTATAAGGTAGACATCTGCAGGTTTACCAAGGCACAGTGTGATGGCAACACGCTGTAACTCTCCACCAGAGAGATTCTGAACCTATGTGCAGAAAAATAATAAAATACATTTGTAAGAGCAAAATGGGCAAAATATATACATACAAGAACCAAGCAACTTCCCAGGTATTCATACATCATTTGACAAAAGACACTAAAGAATTGTAATCATTGTTGAGCTCAATCAACTCATCATTTAACCAATTGACCGTTTTATTTCAACAGCCATCTTTTAAAGGGTATGTAAGCACTTGCTTAGGGTACACAAGCACTTGTTAAGGGACATGAGCACTTGTTAAGGTTGTAAAGAGTAGATGAGCATTTGTAAAGGATAGATGGGCACTTTTAAAGGATATATATGAGCACTTCTAAAAGGGTACATGAGCACTTGTAAAGGGTACATGAGCACTTGTAAAAAAATACATGAGGGCTTGTCAGTTAAGGGTACGTAGCACTTGCTAATGTTGTAAAGGATGGATGAGCACTTGTAAAGGGTACATATACATAAGTACTTGTAAAGGATAGATGAGCACTTGTAAAGGATAGATGAGCACTTGTAAATGGATATATGAGCACTTGTAAAGGGTACATGAGCACTTGTAAAGGGTACATAAGCACCTGTAAAGGGTACATAAGCACTTGTAAAGGGTACATGAGCACTTGTAAAGGATGGATGAGGACTTGTAAAGGGTACATATACATAAGTACTTGTAAAGGATAGATGAGCACTTGTAAATGGATATATGAGCACTTGTAAAGGGTACATGAGCACTTGTAAAGGGTACATAAGCACTTGTAAAGGGTACATAAGCACTTGTAAAGGGTACATGAGCACTTGTAAAGGATGGATGAGGACTTGTAAAGGATACATATACATAAGTACTTGTAAAGGATAGATGAGCACTTGTAAATGGATATATGAGCACTTGTAAAAGGTAGATGAGCACTTGTAAAGGATAGCTGAGCACTTGTAAAGGGTACATAAGCACTTGTTAAGGGACATGAGCATTTGTAAAAGATGGATGAGCACTTGTAAAAAAAAATACACGAGGGCTTGTTAGTTAAGGGTACATGGCACTTGCTAAGGTTGTAAAGGATGGATGAGCACTTGTAAAGGGTACATAAGTACTTGTACAGGATAGATGAGCACTTGTAAATGGATATATGAGCACTTGTAAAGGGTACATAAGCACTTATAAAGGGTATATAAGCACTTGCAAAGGGTACATAAGCACTTGTAAAGGGTACATAAGCACTTGTAAAGGATAGATGAGCACTTGTAAAGGGTACATTAGAACTTGTAAAGGGTACATGAGCACTTGTAAAGGGACATGGGCACTTGTAACGGGTACATAAGCACTTGTAGGGTACATGAGCACTTGTAAAGGGTACATAAGCACTTGTAAAGAATAGATGAGCACTTGTAAAGGGTACATGAGCACTTGTAAAGGGACATGAGCACTTGTAAAGGGTACATAAGCACTTGTAAAGGGTACATGAGCACTTGTAAAGGATGGATGAGCACTTGTAAAGGGTACATAAGTACTTGTACAGGATAGATGAGCACTTGTAAATGGATATATGAGCACTTGTAAAGGGTACATAAGCACTTATAAAGGGTATATAAGCACTTGCAAAGGGTACATAAGCACTTGTAAAGGGTACATAAGCACTTGTAAAGGATAGATGAGCACTTGTAAAGGGTACATTAGAACTTGTAAAGGGTACATGAGCACTTGTAAAGGGACATGGGCACTTGTAACGGGTACATAAGCACTTGTAGGGTACATGAGCACTTGTAAAGGGTACATAAGCACTTGTAAAGAATAGATGAGCACTTGTAAAGGGTACATGAGCACTTGTAAAGGGACATGAGCACTTGTTAAGGTTGTAAAGGATGGATGAGCACTTGTAAAGGATAGATGAGTACTTGTAAAGGATAGATGAGCACTTGTAAAGGATAGATGAGCACTTGTTAAGGGTACATGAGCACTTGTAAAGGGACATGAGCACTTGTAAAGGGTACATGAGCACTTGTTAAGGGTACAGGAGTACTTGTAAAGGGTACATAAGCACTTGTAAAGGGTACATAAGCACTTGAGTACATACCTCTTGGTCATACAACATTTCCATCTGTAAAGGTTTGATGACATCTGTGATAAACTGCGGATGGATGTAGGAATCACGGATTTTTTCATGAAGCAGTTGGCGGACAGTACACTGAGATTTTGGGCTAATCTTCTGAGGCTTGTAGCTTATGTTGAGCACTGGGGCTGCATCTAATGGGAAAACAGAATTACCAATAGTACAGCATTGTATTATATCAACATATACTGTCAGATCAAAGTTCATGTTATTCATAATTAGAAATATTGAATAACAGAACAAGTTTTCAATTACCAACTCCTCTTTTATATATTGCTTTTTTAGTTTGAAGCTCAAAGTAGCAATTAATTGATCCAATTAGAGTTAATCATTAGTTAAAAGATCATTAGGGTTTGGCCATTGATCAATAGTTATGCATCACAGACTTGCCAACCTCCCGTTTTTTAATGGGAATCTCCCGTAATTTTTTTTTTCCGTAGAAAATACCAAACTCCCGTACTGTTTTCTCCCGTAAACTCCCGTACCGTATTTTAACTAAAATCTCCCGTAATTTTTTTTAAAATATGGCCGTAAAATCTCCCATATTTTTGCTGAAATCTCCCATAAAATCTCCCGTATTCTGGTATAACTCCCGTAAAATCTCCCATATTCTTGGTATAACTCCCGTAAAATCTCCCGTTTTCTGGTATAACTCCCGTAAAATCTCCCGTATTCTTGGTATAACTCCCGTAAAATCTCCGTTTTTTGCTGTCGAAATCTACCGTATTTAAAAGGAATTTGACAAATTTGTGACCTTGATTATTGCAGGCACGCTTCTTTCTTTTACTCCAAGAAGGATTGGCTCCCATGGTTCACTATCGATACTTTCATAAATAACTTAAAAGTACTTCATTCCCATGATTCAAATTGCTTTTCTGCGATCAGTTCGGTATAAGTTTGCACACCAAATGTCCACAAACGGGGGCCAGTTCATATTCTGTCATACTAATGTCTGGAGAATACATTTTGTTTTTAAATGGCACTAAACAAAATATTCCCGCAATATAAGGCGCATTATGGGTAGGGACTGCTGTGAAATAATGAACGTAAGTGACATCTATCTTACATTATAAGTTCTAATTAATTTATTAACTGCGCATGCGTCATAATAATTTCAACCAATTAAATCGCTGGATTTAATGCTCATGCGTGAAAAACCAAACCTAAAAATGGAACCTCACGCAGATTGTAAAAGTAAAGTAAAAACTCCAGTTTTTTCATAAATCTACCGTAAAAACTAGGGGTACCACGATACGAGAAATTGAATATCGATACGTATCTACAATACTTACCTCACGATACGATACGAACGATACAATGATACATCGTTAATTAAAGTAAAACTGAACTTTATTTAATTTTTCAAACTTGTAAAGCCGGAAGTACTTCAGCCGGATTACGTTTATTTCACATCACGACAAAGAAAGGTGTAAAATATGCTAACATCGATTAAAACATCTTAAAGACGTGTGGTATTCGAGAACTAGAGGGGCAAACGAAGGTGGCAAGCAAGATATGTAATACTATGACTGTCTGTCATCGCTTAGCGCCAAGTTTTTCACTTCAAGAAGGGACTTCCGGTCAAAAAACGATACGACCGATATTCATTTTATATATCGATACAGCTTGTATCGGAGGTGAATTGCTCGAGCGCTTGAGCACTCGAGCGCTCGCAGTACCCCTAGTAAAAACTCCATTTTTTCAAAATCCACCGTAAAAACTCCATTTTTTCAGAAATCTCCCGTAAAAACTCACATTTTTTTCAAAATTTACCGTAAAAACACCTGTTTTTCAGAAACCTACCGTAAGAACTCCTGTTTTTCCAAAATCTACCGTAAAAACTCCTGTTTTTTTAAAATTTACCGTAAAAACTCCTGTTTTTCAAAATCTGAAGTAAAAACTCCCGTTTTTTCAGAAATCTATCGCAAAAACTCCCGATTTTTCAAAATCTACAGTAAAAACTCCAGTTTTTTCAGAAATCTACCGTAAAAACTCCTGTTTTTTCAGAAATCTACCGTAAAAACTCCAGTTTTTCAGAAATCTACCGTAAAAACTCCCGTTTTTTCAGAACCTACCGCAAAAAATCCCATTTTTCTGAAATCTTCCGTAAAAAAGTCATGTTTTTTAAAATTTACCGCGAAAAATACATTTTTTAAAAAATCTCCCGTAAAAACTCCCGTTTTTTCAAATTCTCCCATAAAAACTCCCGTTTTTTTTTCAAAATTTACCACAAAAACTCCAGTTTTTTTAAATCTCCCGTAAAAACTACCGTTTTTTCAAAAATCTCCCGTAAAAACTCCCGCTTTTTTTCCAAAAAACTCCAGCAAAAACTACCGGATTTTGAAAAAAACTCCCGTAAAAGTACCGCAATTCTTTTTAAATCTCCCGAAAAATTTTTATTTTAGGTTGGCAAGTCTGCATCATCATCTTTACACATAATTGCAATAAAACAGATTTTTTTATTTTATCCCATACTTTGTAGAGTTTCAGGTATAGCAGAGTTTATATTTTCCTCTCTGAAGATATGTCTTTGTACCTTCAGGTGGATATAGACCCCTCTCAAAACCCATGTGAATCACAGGAATTTCATAAGCAGCAGGCTAATAGCAATATTTTTCCAGTTATTTTGATCCCAAATTATATGCTGTTTTGAGAAGATTTGCAACTGTTTCCATGTTACAAGTATAATATGTTACCATACTTTGATTTCTAAACTGTTACTTAACTCCTGGTGACCTACTCTTGCTTGGTTTTGCCAGAGTATTACTATCCTTTCTTCATCACCAATGGGATAATAGTGAATGAAGACTGAAAAGCTCATCAATTGCACCATGAGGCAATATTATTGATCAAATTCTTACCTCCTTTGTCAGGTTTTAAAAGGCCTGCTAACATTCTAATAAATGTTGTTTTCCCAGTTCCATTTTCTCCCAACATCACAATTATCTCTGAATCTGTGAAACCCCCAGAATCAACCGTCAGCTCAAACTTGCCTACAACATACATGCACATATTATATAACTTTGTATTCACAAAGAAAGTTGAAATCTTGCTGATATTAATTTATCCTTTTCAAAGTTTGTAACGGGTGATGCTTTTAGGCTGTGGAAGTTTGTAATAGGTGATGCTTTTAGGCTGTGGAAGTCTGCAATTGGTGATGTTTTTAAGCTGTGGAAGTTTGTAATGAGTGATGCTTCTGGGTTGTGAAGTTTGTAATGGGTGATGCTTTTAGGCTGTGGAAGTTTGCAATGGGTGATATTTCTAGGTTGTGAAGTTTAAATTGGGTGATGCTTCTAGGTTGTGTAAGTTTAAATATGTGATGCTTTTAAGCTGTGTAAGTTTGAATAGGTGATGCTTCTAGGTTGTGTAAGTTTAAATAAATGATGATTCTTGGTTGTGTAAGTTTGAATAGGTGATGATTCTTGGTTGTGGAAATTTAAATAAGTAATGCTTCTTGGTTGTGTAAGTTTGAATAGATGATGTTTCTAGGATATTTAATTTATAACTGATCAGTGAAAACGACAAATAAATAAATATTTCAACTGTTGCTGTATAACACTGCCTAGTTTTAGAATATTTTTATTCATATCATATAACATACAGAACATTAAAATTAGTTTTCTAAAGATGAAAGTTACTCTGAAAGAGTGGTACTCAATGTACAAATGAAGACCTTATTACGGGCTGTTTCCTGTTATGTGATTCTATTCTTTAGTTCACTCATTAGTAAGTTGCCCAGGAAAAGTTCACACCAGAAATTGCACAAAGTCTCCGATTGAACGGTCCATAAAAATATTTCAGTTTATTTCTAAGTATTGGTGACATTGGTGGATGTTTCCTATACTTCCTCCGTGGTAAACAGCCATTTGGTCCTAGATCTGTCCCATTTGGAACAAACTTGGGGCAAACACAGCTCATGTTGAACATGTCATTCATATAGAATAACCCATTATTAAAATATGATGGAATATCAAGAAATTTCTCAACTTTTTGTAACACAGATGCTGGATTGACCTTTAAGTCTGCTGAATCCAATAACAGAATGTTTTCTCTCAGGAAGTGTTTGTAATAGCCAAGGATGTGATTTATGTAGATGCCACGAATGATTTCATCACTGTTCCTTTTGATTTTGCCATTTTTTGTCATTACAACGCTCTCAAATGTAGCATTCACAGGATGTTTGGAGTGTTGCTTATGATGTAAAAAAGCCGACATTGCACGTTCCACTGGATCACACATTTGCACGATAATTTTCACATTAGGCAATGTAGCTTTTATTTCACCAGGATCAGCATAATCAAAATAAGCTGGAGTCTTTTCATATGTAATTTGGTGTGGCGCAACTTCAGGCATACTCTCAAGATAGGAATCAAGTGGCTGACGAATTCTTGAATCAAAATAATGGATTTCTCCACGCGAACTCCTCACAAGATTAGGATGTAACTGTAGAAATGTTGCTAAAGCATGTGTTCCACATTTCTGTATACCAATAATGATAAAGCCAGGGAGTCGCCTCTCTATTGACTCTTTTCCAATCCATGTGTGTTGAGTAACAGTGAAAGTCATTACTAAATATGAGATGTAAACTAGTGCTAGTAAAAATGTGAATAATTTCATGTAATTTGACATCCAGTTTTTATGAAGTGCCATATTTACATGAAATAATGTTCCAATTAACTAAATTAATGAAGTGATTTAACAACTAAATGACCCTGAGATAAATCAAGATATGAGAGCCTCAATAGAAAATGAACATTGATTTATCAAATAAAATTGATGATATTAATTACTTCATTAAACCAGGTAATTACCCAGCATGCTAACATCTGGCAGATGTTACATTTCAACCAATCAGCACAAGAGAGTAATCTATCAAAAACAGGATTGAAGAAAGTATATAGTTAGATGTATCAAATGCATGTGTGACAAATTTAAATGATTTTCTAAACAATATGCCCTTTTCAATTAAAAATACATTAATATCCATCATGATCAAAGTGATTCCAATTGATCAGAAATCTGTATAAAGCGAGACAAAATGCACTTTAAGACCTCAACAGGTATTGCAATTCCAAAAACATGCTTTTGTATTGTATTGCACTATAATATATCGAATTGCAATGTATTGTACCAAATTAAGATATATTGCAATACATGTATTAAAATATATTGTATTTTTATTTTATTTCATATTGGAATACATTACTGTATTGTCATAAAATATTGATTCTAATGAATGTTTGATATAAAAATATATTGAATTGCATTGTATTATATTAAAGTAAAATATATTGAATTACATCGTATTGTATTATAGTAAAATATATTGAATTACATTGTATTATATTAAAGTAAAATATATTGAATTGCATTATATTGTATTAAAGTAAAATATATTGAATTACATTGTATTGTATTTAAGTAAATTATATTGAATTGCATTGTATTGTATTAAAGTAAAATATATTGAATTGCATTGTATTGTATTAAAGTAAAATATATTGAATTGCATTGTATTGTATTAAAGTAAAATATATTGAATAATATTGTGTTATATCGCATTGTTCTGTATTTTGCTGTATTGTACTTTATATAATGCATTGTATTATACTGACTTGTGTTGTGTGTTATGGAGTATTATATTGTATTATACTGTATTGTATTGTACTGTATGATAATAACGAAGGGTTAACACAAGAACTCACCTAATAATTTCACCATATTGCCATACTCATAATGTTGCATTCGTTTGGCTACTTCTTCAGTTGCTGTCTCTGACACTTTGAACACGAGAGAAGAATCACGGAAACGCAGATTCTCAGTTGGCACAAAACCATCAAGGAAGATGTTGATTCCTAAATAATTCAAAAAATAATAATTACATGATTATAGAATATAAATCTCATAATACAAGTAGGTACAAGATGGTATGGGAAGAGACAGGGGTAGAGGTGACAAGATGGGGGTTGGGAAGAGGGTCCATAATCATTCATTGTTGTATACATTATCTAAAACAAAATGGCAATGATTATCATTCTTAATTACACATACAAAACGTTATGAGAGATATTACATAAAATTAGCATAATATTGTTTATCAACTATCAGCTAGTACTTTGTAAGATAACTTGTCCTTAGAGAGCTAAGTGTTAAAGAATGACATGTTACCTTCCCTGACACCAAATGGCATAGTAACAACCCCATAAGCTCCAGGAGTACCATAGAGACAGCATATAAAGTCAGATAAGTAATCTAACACTGCCAGATCATGCTCAACCACAATGACATATTTATCTACTCCAACGAGATCACGAATTGCTAACGCTGCTTTCAGCCTCTGTTTCACATCAAGGTAACTGGAGGGCTCATCAAACATGAAACTGGAAAACAGAGTTATCTAAGATCCTGAAACATTCAAATTGTTCATTCCTAGCCCTGTCTCTTTTGATTTACTGAACATACATTAAAGGCTCAAATGCTTCTTTATTTCAGTTCCCATATAATTACTTGGATGTCACTAAAAGCTTTAAATTCTCTTACATTTCAGCTCTCTGTATACCACCCTATGCAGACAGAGCCTGTGGGAAATATTGGGTGCGGAGCAAATGGGCGGAGGGTGCGGAGCTAACGGTCATTTTTGAATTTAAATATGGGATATTTCTGAAACTAAGCCGTTTTGGGACTTCAAATATACCAAGATATGTGTATTTGACACCAAATATCAATACAATTGTGAAAATAGTAGCGCAATTCATTCTATAGCGACGCAGTGTGCCTTAAACCTTTCCCAGACCTATATATTTTGAAATTATCCTTTTAATACTGAGTCCCCAGAATTCATAAAAAATGGTGTTCAAGGTACACTATCTATACAAATTATTTTTGCATCTTGGAAGCCAGGCAGTATCTGTGTGATTTTATAAAAATTCGGAAATGTTTTTCAGATATGAGCCCCCTCTAAATATTGGGTGCGGAGGAGCTCCATAAACGTACCTCCGCACCCAATATTTAGAGGGGGCTCATATCTGAAGAAATTTCCGAATTTTTATAAAATCACACAGATACTGCCTGGCTTCCAAGATGCAAAAATAATTTGCATGGGTAGTGTATCTTGAACACCATTTTTTATGAATGCTGGGGACGCAGTATTAAAAGGATAGTCTCAAAATATATAGGTCTGGGAAATGTTAAAGGCATACTGCGTCGCTATAAAATGAATTGCACTACTATTTTCACAATTTTATTGATATTTGGTGTCAAATACACATATCTTGGTATATTTGAAGTCCCAAAACGGCTTAGTTTCAGAAATATCCCAATTTTAAATTCAAAAATGACCGTTAGCTCCGCACCCTCCGCTCATGTGCGCCGCACCCAATATTTCCCACAGGCTCTGTCTGCATAGGGTGTATACAAACTATAGCAATGGCAAATCTCTGCAATTCCCAACCAGATAAATCCTAAAAGCTTTAAATTCACTTACATATCAGCTCTTTGTATACACACTTTAGCAATGGCAAATCTGTAATTCCCCACCAGATAAATCCTAAAAGCTTTAAATTCACTTACATATCAGCTCTTTGTATACAAACTATAGCAATGGCAAATCTGTAATTCCCAACCAGATAAATCCTAAAAGCTTTAAATTCACTTACATATCAGCTCTTTGTATACACACTTTAGCAATGGCAAATCTGTAATTCCCCACCAGATAAATCCTAAAAGCTTTATATTCACTTACATATCAGCTCTTTGTATACACACTATAGCAATGGCAAATCTCTGTAATTCCCCACCAGATAAATCCTCAACATTCCTGTCCCTAACAGCTAGTAGATCTATAGGTAAACAAAAAGTTTGTTTAATTCTTTTTTCAGAAAATATGGATAACACAGGGATTTTTCATTGTGCCTTTTCATTTAATATTTGATCTGGATCTTTTTAACTGTTTCAAGTTTGTTTTTACCATTTTATATATGAAAGTTAATCCCAGTCGATATTTGCAGATATCACTCAATTGTGTTCATTAAGTGTGACTTGGGATATATCTGCATGTAGTTCTGTCTTCCAAGGATTCTCATACGACAAGCTTACTGAAGGGGGTGGATGGTGTAGATTTTGACACTTAATATTTACTTTGAGGAAAGAATTGTGTATCAAACTTCTTTCAACTTCAGTCTCACTTCTAAGCTACATGCAACAACTAGAAAACAGCAAGTTCACGGAGAAACAAATACCACAGATTACCCATGATGCAGATCTATCAAATGGTAGTTGATTTATTGAAAAATAAATAAATTATTATAATAATCAATTATAAAAAAAGTCAGCCAAAGATCATATTGGGAAAATTTCTTCTTAAACAGAGGTCTGTTGCCCACATGACATTAGCCTATCAAATCTACATCAAATCCTATAAATCGTTTTTAAGTTATCATGAATTACATTTTTTCATAAATGTCTGCCATTTTGAATTGAGCAGCCATCTTGAAAATTCCTTCTAGAGCAGAGTCCTGTGTCACTAAAACATCAGGGTGTAAAATTTTAAAGAAATTTGTCAGCTGGTATTTGAGTTATCAAACATTATATTTTCTATGAAAAATGGTGGCCATTGTGAGATGAGCGTGGCCATATTGAAAATGCCTTCTTAAACAGAGGTCCTATAAAATTTCAACCAAATTCCATAATTTGGTCATATCAATTAATGGCATTTAAGATGAAAAATGGCAGTAATTTTTTTGATATACAGCGGCCATCTTGAAGAAATATTATTGAGCAGAGCTCTTATGTCACTAAGTATCAGCATAAAAATTTGAATCAAATCTGTCAACCGGTATTTCAGTTATTTAAGATAACATTTTTTATGAAAAATGGTGGCCATTTTGAATTGTGCAGCCATATTGAAAATTCCTTCTCAAGCAGAGGTCCATCATTCATTCACCAAATCCATCAACAGGTATTTGAGTTATCACCTGGACAATTGAATGAATTGGATTGAGACATGGACAGATGGCATCTCTATATCCCCCAACAAACTTTTTGTTCGGTGGGATAACAACATCCTAAGTCGTTTATTAGAATTGATTTGGTATTTGGCTGTATCATACTCATGTATGCTGATTTATCATCTTTTTATCCTAGAGACACACAAGTCCCAGTGTGATAAAAAAACCTCTATATTTAAATCAGCAGGATAAAGGTTACCATGACCACATTTGGGAGAATATGGCTAAAAAACGGTGTCCAATTGTCAAAAATGGTAATTTCCTTAAAGTGTAACCTACCTCACTCTATTAATATTATGAAATTGAAATTGTTGATTAGCCTTACACTTGAATTTAAAATGACATAAAACATACAAACCTAAACTTTTACAAACTTCCTTCTGGTTATTCATTTCATCTTTTCTATCCAAAAGCTGCTGGACAGAACCCTGCAAAACAAGACATTAACCTAACAGTACATCTACTGTAAAATATGTAAAATGTTCTTGCGTTTATTTTTGCGATTTCATAAGGTGTGCATTACTAGCCAAATTAAATGTCTCACCTGATTATTATTGAAAAAAATATATAAATTTCTATTTTGACCAATAATTCCTTAACTCTTGGGAAAGAAAACAAAATGCAGCAGGAAAATATTTCTGGTTGTGAAACGAAAATATTTCTGGTGGTGAAACGATTATGTTTCTTTGCATTTTTGGGTAGAAGGGGAGGGGGGTCCTCTTACGAAAAGTATGTAAAGCATTTAAAGTGATCACAGTTGGTATCGAAAGACATTAATATAACAATAGGTCTGCTAAGTAATCACAGATGGTTACAAAAGTGAAACAAGTTGTGCCCGTGTTGATGGGGGTCAAGGTCATCCAGGTAGGTTGGCACTGGAGCATGGTATTTAGTACTGTAATATTGTGACTATTACTCTGATGGTCATGAAATATGGTAGGCTGGTATGGTATTGAATGATTTACAAATATGCCAGGGAGTAATTTTCCTAAAATGACAAAGATATGAGGAAAATGCTGGGTTTCCGTTAAGTATCACACTGTACCATAAAACTTGAAGACATTAATTTTGAAAAAGCATTCATTTTTTATTTATTAATATTAATGACCAAGTTGATATGATGGTAGCATACCTTGACTGCCCTTGGGATTTGGTCGACATACTGTGGCTTTATGATGGCTTTGAGGTCATCTTCTAACAGCTTTGTAAAGTAATTCTGCAATTCGCTACCTCGAAAATGTTCCAATATAACTGTCCAATCTGGTGGAGCCTGAAATGTAAAACAATCTTGTATATAGCTTGATTAAATCATAATCATAAAATTTCTAGATTTATTATTGGTATATGTGATGTCCAGTGAATATTATACAAATATTTAATTATATTGAGGTGAATACCTGTGCATCTTTCACACTGATATTCCATGAAGCCAAGAGGGCTAGTGGAATATCATCTTGTGAAAGTATCACAGGTATTCACCAAAAATAGAACTAAATATTTGTTTTATTATTCACTGTTATATTCCGCACTCACATTAATCAGAGAAACTAGAATTCTGCGCTACAAAATGCAAAATTTTGCAAGAAAAAATCAGAACTCTGGAAGCCAAAATGTGAAATTCTGACTTCTGTTGAATATAGCTATTTATTTTTTAGTCACATGTAGGACATGGACCAATCAAAGAGTGAGGGATATGACAGTGATATAATAATATCTGATCTTTCATGACATGTGACCCAGTTTGAACCAATTATACAATTGCAAGTTTGACAGTGATGTAATATTGTCTGATCTTTCATGACATGTGACCCAGTGTGAACCAATCATACAATTGTAAGTTTGACAGTGATGTAATATTGTCTGATCTTTCATGACATGTGACCCAGTGTGAACCAACCATACAATTGCAAGTTTGACAGTGATGTAATATTGTCTGATCTTTCATGACATGTGACCCAGCGTGAACCAATTATACAATTGCAAGTTTGACAGTGATGTTATATTGTCTGATCTTTCATGACATGTGACCCAGTTTGAACCATTCATACAATTGCAAGTTTGACAGTGATGTAATATTGTCTGATCTTTCATGACATGTGACCCAGTGTGAACCAATCATACAATTGCAAGTTTGACAGTGATGTAATATTGTCTGATCTTTCATGACATGTGACCCAGTTTGAACCAATCATACAATTGCAAGTTTGACAGTGATGTAATATTGTCTGATCTTTCATGACATGTGACCCAGTTTGAACCAATCATACAATTGCAAGTTTGACAGTGATGTAATATTGTCTGATCTTTCATGACATGTGACCCAGTGTGAACCAATTACTTACTTCATATTATAAAACAAAACAAGAACACAAATGTGTACAAAATGTCCCCACCAATGGGTGATCCCATCATATGGTTATCCTGAAAATGAGTAGACAAGACTTTACCAAAATTAGTCAGTTCTAGATTTTCAAACTAAGAACCACCCCTGAAAATGTTTAATTGATCCGTCACACAGTTAACTAGAAAACATGTAAACAAGACTTTACAGACAAGATTTTAGGATGGAAAATCCAAAATGGCTGCCTTGACATTTACCCAGAATGTCAAAAACTAATCTGTTCCTAGATTTTCGTACTAAGAATCATCCCTGAAAATATGACATTGATCTACCAAATGGTTCACCTGAAAACGCGTAGACAAGACTTTACAGACAAGATTTTAGGACAGAAAATCCAAAATGGCTGCCATGACATTTACACAGAATGCCAAAAAACTAATCAGATGTAGATTTTCACACAAAGAATCATCCCTGAAAATTTGAAATTGATCTACCAAACGGTTCACCTAAAAACGCGTAGACAAGACTTTACAGGCAAGATTTTAAGACGGAAAATCCAAAATGGCTGCCTTGACATTTATCCAGAATGCCAAAAAACTAATCAGATCTAGATTTACATACTAAGAATCATCCCTAAAAAATTGAAATTGATCTACAGAACGGTTCACCTGGAAATACATAGACAAGACTTTACAGACAAGATTTTAGGACAGAAAATCCAAAATGGCTGCCTTGACATTTGCCCAGAATGCCAAAAAACTAATCAGTTCTACATTTTCATACTAAGAATCATCTCTGAAAATTTGAAATTGATCTACCAAACGGTTCACCTGAAAACGCTTAGACAAGACTTTACAGACAAGATTTTAGGATGGAAAATCCAAAATGGCTGCCTTGACATTTACCCAGAATGCCAAAAAACATATCAGATCTAGATTTTTATACTAAGAATCATCCCTGAAAATTTGAAATTGATCCACCAAATGGTTCACCTGAAAACACGTAGACAAGACTTCACAGACAAGATTTTAGGACGGAAAAATCCAAAATGGCCGACAATAAAAAAGTGATTATGTGTTTTTGCTGATTTCCTCTTACAAAATTATCACATATAACTACTGTTAACAATAACATAGGCTTTTACAACAAAGTACATCTGAAATTATTTATAAAGCTACTAAATAGTTAAAGTATGAAAACTCAAAAACACCATTCAATATGATACAAAGTATTATCGTGCGCTAACTTTTCTTAAGACATTCAAAATGGCTGACATGACTGAGCTAACAGGTCCAAAACCTAATCAGATGTAGAATGAAGTGAGCTGAACGAGATGTTAAAGTTTTAAAAGCAACTGTGAAGCCGTTTTTCTTAAAGTTTGCAGACAAGGATTTTAGCATTTGACTTCAAAATGGCCGACAGGAAGTAGGTATCGAGTTAAAATTTTTTCATCCACATCTGTATGCACTCATAAGTTATTCCTGAAAATTTGAAGGTGATATCTGTAGCGGTTTTGGAGAAAACTCCCGGACGTATGGACGGACGGACGGACAGACAGACGGACGCGCCTAGGCCGACAATATGGCCCCACACTATGTGGTGGGGACATAAAAACTAATCAGTTCTAGATTTTCATACTAAGAATCATCCCTCAAAATTTGAAATTGATCTACCAAACGGTTCACCTGAAAACGCGTAGACAAGACTTTACAGACAAGATTTTAGGACGGAAAATCCAAAATGGCTGCCCTGACATTTATCCAGAATGCCAAAAAACTAATCAGTTCTTGATCTTAATACAAGGAATCATCCCTGAAAATTTGAAATTGATCTACCAAATGATTCACCTGAAAACGCGTAGACAAGACTTTACAGACAAGATTTTAAGACGGAAAATCCAAAATGGCTGCCTTGACATTTACCCAGAATGCCAAAAAACTAATCAGATCTAGATTTTCATACTAAGAATCATCCCTGAAAATTTGAAATTGATCTACCAAACGATTCACCTGAAAACGCGTAGACAAGACTTTACAGACAAGATTTTAGGACGGAAAATCCAAAATGGCTGCCCTGACATTTATCCAGAATGCCAAAAAACTAATCAGTTCTAGATCTTAATACAAGGAATCATCCCTGAAAGTTTGAAATTGATCTACCAAACGATTCACCTGAAAATGCGTAGACAAGACTTTACAGACAAGATTTTAAGACGGAAAATCCAAAATGGCTGCCTTGACATTTACCCAGAATGCCAAAAAACTAATCAGATCTAGATTTTCATACTAAGAATCATCCCTGAAAATTTGAAATTAATCTACCAAACGATTTTACATACAAGATTTTAGGACGGAAAAATCCAAAATGTCCGACAATAAAAAAGTGATTATGATTTTGCTGATTTCCTTTTACAAAATTGTCACATATAACCATTGTTAACTATAACATAGGCTTTTACAACAAAGTACACCTGAAATTATTTATAAAGCTACTAAACCAGAACAACGGCAACGCCAAAGCGTAGCGAATCCCATCGAACAGAAATAGCTGGCATTTTATACAAACGAAATATATAGCAAATATCATAAAATAACACACATAAGAAAGCTTCCATCAGAAGAAGTAATATGCTTTTTTATAGTATTCACATGCCAAATATGAACAAAATCGCTCCACTAGTTTTCGAGTTATAGTAAAATTCTTTAAAATGGAGGCCATTTTTCAAAATGGCCGCCTTCTACCAAAAGTGTCATAAGACAGTGTGCCATGCTAATAGTATTCGAATACCAAATATGAACAAAATCGCTCCACTACTTTTCAAGTTACAGCAAAAATCATAAAATAACGAGTAAAGGCCGAGTAAAATACGTTTAAATGGCGACCATTTTTCAAATTCCATTTTTTGTCATCAGAAAAAGTAATATGCTTTTTTTATAGTATTCACATGGCAAATATGAACAAAATTGCTCCACTACTTTTCGAGTTACAGTAAAATACTTTAAAATGGTGGCCATTTTTCAAAATGGCCGCCTTCTACCAAAAGTGTCATTAGACAGTGTGCCATGCTTATATTATTCACATACCAAATATGAACAAAATCGCTCCACTACTTTTCGAGTTATAGTAAAATACGTTAAAATGGCGACCATTTTTCAAAATGGCGGCAAATTTTCAAAATGGCCTCCTCTAACCAAAAGTGTCATTAGACAGTGAGCCATGCTTATAGTATTCACATACCAAATATGAACAAAATCGCTCCAATACTTATTGAGTTACAGCAAAAATCGTAAAATAACGAGTAAAGGCCACCATTTTTCAAGATGGCTGCCATGTGCTTTTTTAATTTCTAAATTTCTAGCTTTATCAATGTCCTATATAATTTTTTTACATTTAAAACATAATGCTATCACAGTTTTACATATTGCACCTAAATTACTGTAAAATCGGCACTAAAATGGCCGCCATTTTTAAATGAGCGGCCATTTTGAAAATCGGCTTTTTAGCAGAACTTCTCCCCCCATAGGGTATATGTGTACAAAATATGAACAAAATCGGGCCAACGGTATTTGAGTTATTGCCCGGACGGACGGACGGACGTACGTATGGACGGACGGAGGAGTTCCCTATATCCCTCCGAACTTCGTTCGATGGGATAATAATTACAGTATGAAAACTCAAAAACACCGTTCAATATGAAACAAAGTATTATCGCGCACTAACTTTTCTTAAGACATTAAAAATGGCTGACATGACTGAGCTAACAGGTCCAAAACCTAATCAGATGTAGAATGAAGTAAGCTGAGTAAGTTTTAAAAGCAACCGTGAAGCCGTTTTTCTTAAAGTTTGCAGACAAGGATTTTAGCATTTGACTTCAAAATGGCCGACAGGAAGTAGGTATCGAGCTAAAAATCTTTTGTCCACATCTGTATGCACTCATAAGTTGTCCCTGAAAATTTGAAGGTGATATCTGCAGCGGTTTTGGAGTAAACTACCGGACGTATGGACGGACGGACGGACAGACAGACACAGACAACCAGACGGACGGACGGACGCGCCTAGGCCGACAATATGGCCCCACACTAAGTGGTGGGGACATAATAAGTGGTGGGGACATAATAAGTGGTAGGGACATAATAAGTGGTGGGGACATAATAAGTGGTGGGGACATAATAAGTGGTGGGGACATAGTAAGTGTTGGGGACATAATAATTGTGTAGTATAACATAGTGGTTTGAAATCAGGATTATGCAAAAGCAGATATATTTGGTATTAAAATCTTGATTAATATCAATAATTTGTTCTGAATAGTGATGATAAATGCTCAATAGGGAAAAAGCTTACCGCATATTTTCCTAAATTTGGTTTCTGTTTTCCAGCTAGTACTTTAAGAGCTGTTGATTTCCCGATACCATTTGTTCCAACAAGCCCTAGAACTGCATGTGGTCTGGGGGTGGGAAGTCTAGAAAATAGAGATAATGGTTGAAGGGTTCCGATAAGCTTCCCATATTCAAACAATATGGCAAATATTATCGTATCACTATATTGTACCATTAAAAAGAAATAAAAGAAATGGTACATTTTGGAGTATGATACCCAGGCACGGTTTTCAATAGCTTTTACTCTTAGCGTTGTTGGACTTCAAACAAAAGTTAAAGTTACCCGCAAATGATATACCCATTGGAGTAAGAAATCTTCATTGGTATAGCGAAACATATGAGTGAAAAATAAATTGTGTGGGTTTCTTAGTGTTTCTATGCAAAATAGCAGGCTCCATCACAGCGGACAAATTTTTCGATACCAGCCTGTGACAAAGGAGATCCTGAAACGTCACCAATGAATGTGAAATTGATTTGTCAAACTAAAAATCTCTCTTTTATGAATGTGTGACAATCTATAATATACTAATGCTTTATATCAGTTAGAGGTGTTGACAAGACCTTGAGCCAGTATTATTCCCGGATCAGTCCTTTTATACTTAACAGTAAGCAACACCAGAAACAAGCCTTCGATTTGCTAAACGATATGCGTCACACTTGAAAACCCTTTAAAAGTAGAATTAAGAATAGGCACACAGTTTGACACACTGATAAACCCCACACCTACTTCAAAATGGTAGGCGGGGATGACACGGCTCTCAAAAAGGATCCAGAAAACTGGGAATACAATGGTCAGTTTCGTTCATCAGACAGTACCATTATGTGGATACGATGTTATTTTACAAGTAGCACTAAATTTCTTTCCCGATGTAAACCTAGTTATCTCAATATAAGGGTCCTAAGAAACTTTCGAGTTAAAATATTTGTAGTGTTGTGTCATACTTATGTTATTAATCATGTTGAGTCTTTATAACAAGGCAATAAAACATTACTTGTGTAGTTTGAAGGAGTTTGCAGAGTATCTGTGTGTTGTGTGGCTTTCCAGATTACTGGGCAGGTTAATGATAGACACAGCTTCAAATGGACATTTCTGAAATAAAAGGAGGAGACATCAATAAAAATTACAGTGATTTTCCCCATTTTCAGTATTTTGGATTTGATATCAAAAAGGTATATGGACCGGGCAGTGGCAGATCTGAAAGCTTACAAAGGGGGGTCAACCCGTCAATTTAGGTCACTCCTTGTAAATGTAAACAACAGTTTGACAAAAGATAAATGCCAATAATTTCATTGATTAAATCCTGATTTGTGATACAGACAGTATTCTATGATAATTGAATGCTTTAATAAAAGTCAATACTGAAAAGTCTTTATCAAAGTTAGAAGTGAGAGAAGAGATGGCAGCAATGGTTTCATTAACAGCAGGCAACAGACGATTTTCACCGATTGTTTTCCCAAAATCTCCTGTTACTTTTAGGGACTTTTCAACTTTTCCATGTTAAATATATGATTTCCATTAATCTTGCCTGTTGTTTTCATTTATTTAGCCTGTTGTGAGAAATTCTATTGAAACCCCTGGGGCAGGGTGCCTTTTACCTTTTCTACCTACCTTAACACAAATACCACATCCTATACACAGCTCTTCAGAGAAAGCAGCAATTTTAGATACAGGAGCAACCTCAATGCACAGTTTGCCTGGAAAAACATACATCAAATAAATCAATGTGAAAATGACTTGATTAGAAACAAAAATGATAGTATCCTGATTTGACTTTCATACTTGGACATGCTTGATTTTTATGGCTATTTGAAAATAATTCTAGGAATTTTGACATTTGTTCATCTTAAATCTTTAATTATCACTTCGTATGAAAGATATTGGACAAATATTTAATTCTCTTGAGGTGAATACCCGTGCATCTTTCACAAGTGATATTTCATGAATACTAAAGGGCCAGTGGAATATCATCTTGTGAAAGTGTCACAGGTATTCACTGAAAATAGAATTGAATATTTGTTTTATTTGTCACTGTTTTATTCCTCACTCACATTAATGGAACAACCTACTGATGTCTAATTGTTCATAACAATGTACTCCCCGGGCTTTATAAAATTACACAGGAATAAATTGTGACTGGTGAGTATCATTTGATATTCAAAGGAAGTCATGTGATTAACCATTGAATATCGCTTTGGCCATGTTTTGGCCATGTACCAATCAGAGAGTGAGGAATATGACAGTCAAATAATAATCAAAGATATTTATCTGAATTAGAATTCATTATTAACAATCTCAGTATAATCATACAAATCTGATATGTTTGCTACATACACAGGCAAATTAAATCAAACCCTGTACAAGCCCATACGGAGCTCGTTGAGTCAACGGGCCCTGTACAACTTCGTACGGGCCTCTTTACAAGTCTCATAATTGCTTGTAATTTTCGAGCCTCGTAAGAGCTTGTGATTACAAGGCCCATAATGGCTCATAATTTTCAACCCTCATACTTGAATGTACAGTACCCGTAACAAGCCCTGAGAGAAATCATAATTTTCGAACCCCGTACTTGCTCATACCGTGCCTGTTACGAGGCCTGTAATAGCTCATAATTTTCTAGCCTTATACTTGCCTGTGCGATGCCTGTAACAAGCCCCGTAATGGCTCATAATTTTCGAACACTGTACTTGCCCGTATGAGGCTTGTAACGAGGCTTATATTTACTCATTCATTTTGATGAACACTTTTTGATCGATGAAATTAAATACAGCATACTTGAGAAATGACATTTCAATAATATCTAATAATTATGAATTGATATTTCTTCAATAATTTCAAAATATTCACATGTCTGTATCAACATGATAAACAGTATACAAGAACACAAATGTGTACAATATGTCCCCACCAATGGGTGATCCCATGAAATGGTTATCCTGAAAATGAGTAGACAAGACTTTACTGACACAATTTGAGGAAGGAAAGTCCAAAATGGCCACCTTAAAATTTACCCAGAATCCCCAAAAATTAGCTAGTTCTAGATTTTCATACTAAGAACCACCCCTGAAAATTTGAAATTGATCCGTCAAACAGTTAAACAAGACTGTACAGACAAGATTTTAGGATGGAAAATCCAAAATGGCTGCCTTGACATTTACCCAGAATGTCAAAAAACTAATCAGTTCTAGATTTTCATACTAAGAATCATCCCTGAAAATTTGAAATTGATCTACCAAACGGTTCACCTGAAAACGCGTAGACAAGACTTTACAGACAAGATTTTAGGACAGAAAATCCAAAATGGCTGCCTTGACATTTATCCAGAATGCCAAAAAACTAATCAGATCTAGGTTTTCATACTAAGAATCATCCCTGAAAATTTGAAATTGATCTAACAAACGGTTCACCTGGAAATGCGTAGACAAGACTTTACAGACAAGATTTCAGGACGGAAAATCCAAAATGGCTGCCTTGACATTTACCCAGAACGCCAAAAAAACTAATCAGATCTAGATTTTCATACTAAGAATCATCCTGAAAATTTGAAATTGATCTACCAAACGGTTCACCTAGAAATGCGTAGACAAGACTTTACAGACAAGATTTTAGGACGGAAAATCCAAAATGGCTGCCTTGACATTTACCCAGAACGCCAAAAAACTAATCAGATCTAGGTTTTCATACTAAGAATCATCCCTGAAAATTTGAAATTGATCTAACAAACGGTTCACCTGGAAATGCGTAGACAAGACTTTACAGACAAGATTTTAGGACGGAAAATCCAAAATGGCTGCCTTGACATTTACCCAGAACGCCAAAAAAACTAATCAGATCTAGATTTTCATACTAAGAATCATCCCTGAAAATTTGAAATTGATCTACCAAATGGTTCACCTGGAAATGCGTAGACAAGACTTTACAGACAAGATTTTAGGACGGAAAATCCAAAATGGCTGCCTTGACATTTACCCAAAATGCCAAAAAACTAATCAGATCTAGATTTTCATACTAAGATTCATCCCTGAAAATTTGAAATTGATCTACCAAACGGTTCACCTGAAAACGTGTAGACAAGACTTTACAGACAAGATTTTAGGACGGAAAAAACCAAAATGGCCGACAATAAAAAAGTGATTACGAGTTTTTGCTGATTTCCTTTTACAAAATTATCACATATAACTACTGTTAACAATAACATAGGCTTTTTCAACAAAGTACACCTGGAATTATTTATAAAGCTACTAAATAGTTAAAGTATGAAAACTCAAAAACACCATTCAATATGATACAAAGTATTATCGCGCGCTAACTTTTCTTCAGACATTCAAAATGGCTGACATGACTGGGCTAACAGGTCCAAAACCTTATCAGATGTAGAATGAAGTGAGCTGAACAAGATGTTAAAGTTTTAAAAGCAACTGTAAAGCCGTTTTTCTTAAAGTTTGCAGACAAGGATTTTAGCATTTGACCTCAAAATGGCCGACAGGAAGTAGCTATCGAGTTAATTTTTTTTCATCCACATCTGTATGCACTCACAAGTTATTCCTGAAAATTTGAAGGTGATAGCTGTAGCGGTTTTGGAGAAAACTGCCGGACGTACGGACGGACAGACAGACAACCAGACAGACAGACAGACGGACGGACGGACGGACGCGCCTAGGACGACAATATGGCCCCACACTATGTGGTGGGGACATAAAAAGCTAAGAAACAAAATAACTTTACTGACAAGATTTTAGAACGGAAAATCCAAAATGGCTGACTTGACATTTACCCAGAATGTCAAAAAACTAATTAGATCTAGATTTTTATACTAAGAATCATCCCTGAAAATATGAAATTGATCTACCAAACGCTTAACTGGATATTGCATAGACAAGACTTTACAGACAAGATTTTAAGACATAAAAACCAAAATGGCCGCCTTGACATTTATGCAGAATGCCAAAAAACTAATCAGATCTAGATTTTCATACTAAGAATCATCCCTGAAAATTTGAAATTGATCTACCAAACGGTTCACCTGGAAATGCATAGACAAGATTTTACCGACAAGATTTTAGGACGGAAATTCCAAAATGGCCGCCTTGACATTTACCCAGAATGTCAAAAAACTAATCAGATCTAGATTTTCATACTTAGAAACATCCCTGAAAATCTGAAATTGATCTACCAAACGGTTCACCTGAAAACGCGTAGACAAGACTTTACAAACAAGATTTTAGGACGGAAAAATCCAAAATGGCCGACAATAAGAAAGTGATTATGAGTTTTTGCTGATTTCTTTTTACAAAATTATCACATATAACCACCATTAACAATAACAAAGGCTTTTACAACAAAGTACACCTGAAATTATTTATAAAGCTACTAAATAGTTAAAGTATGAAAACTCAAAAACACCATTCAATTTGATACAAAGTATTATCGCACGCAAGGAGGATTGGCTCCCAGAGTGCAACATCGATATTCTGCCCCATATATGGGCATGTCGTGCTACAAAATTTGAATTCCAACGACCGCCATTTTGTTCACTTAAACATTTGAATCGTGAATTTTGGTCTTATTTCCCAACGAAAAATTCCAAAACTCACAAGAAATGATCGAGATATTGGTTCGAATATTTTGAACTGTTTATTTTGAATTTATAATCGGTTATAATTTCAGAAAATAACGACATTTCGGCGTTTTCATTGTTGGAAAATATCGACTTCGATTCTGGGAGCCAATCCTCCTTGATCGCACGCTAACTTTTCCTAAGACATTAAAAATGGCTGCCATGACTGAGCTACCGTACATCTAATTACTAGCCTTACACCATGCCATGTCGTCGTCATGCCGCCCGAATTTCGTGGTCAAATCGAACGCTTTTCGTGGTCACCGCGGGCGCGTCACGAGTGCGCTTCAAGCTCATCGCGGGGTAATTTCGTATGTACCACGGAGTTGGTTCATTCGCGTAGCTTTCGCTCACCATTCGTTCCACGGACGCCACATTATATTTTCACGTAGTTACATTGTAAGTGTATGAGATTCCATTTACTTACCCGATGGGCAAATGGTAAATCAGGTTTAAAACCATTATCTTTCAACGTACAATTACACGATCTTTCATTCCCAGTTCTTTTCTTCATCCCGATAAACATCTGATGAATGAAGATGTATGCTTTCCATGTACATCACATTTTATTATACAATTGATAAGACTCTCTAAATAAGTCGCCCTAGACGGAAACAAATAATTTAACAAAGCGTTTTTCGAAATTCTTTTTAAATCATCTGTTCCCATTTAACCGCAGCACAGTATAAATGCACATTTTTATTGGATAGTGAATTTAATCAATGCGATGAATTTACGTGAAATTTACAGTCTGGTGCAGTATGTGAATCCCAGTAATCATTGTTGGAAATGCCTCTTATTAGCGTATCTAACGCAGCTAGCCTGGCGCATTACAGTACATATTACAAGTGTCATTTCTGGCGAGAGGTCTTCATATATAGTGGTGTATGTTTTATGTTCATGGTATGTAAATTGGAAGAGTTGTAAATTCGTTGTCTTTAGTAGCGTTTCTGCTTTATCGGAGTTTGCGGTATTTTCGTTTATAAAAATGGTATTGGTTTGGATGTGTGTAGTGTGAGTTTGTGGTGGGATCCCTGTTTGTCAAAGGTTTGGGTGTTTAGTCTTGTGTTTGAGCTTAGT